ACTTCTGCTTAAGTTTTCATATTACTTCTGATATACAAATTTACTAGAACAATGATATGTAGTGGTATTGAACCATACCTGAAGTGTGGTGGAATCAGCATGATTTGTTCATGTTGTATGCTAACTTCAAATTAAATTGGAAGGAGGTGAATGCCCTGAAGACAATAAAATGTGCTAATGTGCAGCAGCTCTGTGGCAGGTAGAACATGGTAGTTAAACACAAATTGGTTTTCAAAGGTGTGACACTTCACGTTGGTTTTTGAATTGAGTTCCTGGAGTCAGTGCTTATGGTGCATGTAAATAAACAAAAACCACTAAAAACAACACAAAAGAAAAAGTCTCAAGCCGTCATGAAATAGGCATGAAAACCGTGAAAACATAATGAGTGGAAGGAGAGCTTAATTCAGGACATGTAAAGAGCTAACTTTTGCTGCTCTTTAAAATATTCCATCATTTCTAAGTAAATGTTATGACAATAATATTTACTTAGACAACAAGAATTGACTGCACTGAATTTGTAGCCTTTGCTATTGAAAAGAAAACATTGAACAGGATGGAAGAAAAACTTATGTAAATATCATATGGGTGCTTTCTTATGTGCTATGGGTTGAAGGCATTAAGGGGAGGGCAAAGTGTTCAGATGATACACCTGAGTGGCACAATTAGCTGTGAGTTTCAAATAAGTCTATTTGCTTGTGGAAGTTATAATTCTGTATTTTTTGAATAAGGGTATTTATTTTATTTTCTCTCATCATATCACTGCCCCCCTTTTTCTTTCCCTCCTTGTGTGATGGTATTGTAAATTTGTTATGAACACAGTTTTCTTTCTCTGAAAAAAAGACTTAATCCATGGTAGTTTCTACCTTCTGTGGACAAGAATAAGTTGCATTAAAAACCAAACCCATAAACAAACCCTTTTATATTAATGTATCAGGTGCTAACAAGTATCCGCTGTCCTGCACTGATAAGATACATTAGCATTCCTGCTTAGCTCTCCACATGCTTAATTTCCTTCCAAAATGTACACAAAGGAATTTTGAAAGGCATTTTGTGTCATTGAAAGTTTTAAAGGATAGTTATGATTTGAGTTTGTGAGAAGTAAAATTAGATGTAGATTAAAATTCCAATTCATAGCAATTGCCTAATGACCAGTAAGTCTAAACCAGGCCAATTTTATTTGACTTTTCCAGACAACTGCTCTTTTTGGCTTTCAGAGCTAACTCACCAATTTTCAGATAAAATCAATTCTGTTAGCCACAGTCAAAGGTGGTGGCTAAAATTAGTTAGCTTGCAGCCCTAGCTATGAACAGACTGCTGTCTGTCCATAATTACTCTAAGAGGATTGTGCCAACTTTAATAACAGTTTATTTTGTTGAAGTGTGTGATTTTTACAATTTTTTAAATAACACATTGGAGTTCTGTTTTTTGAAATTTTTGTTAGGTTTCGTTTGGGTGGTTGGAGACTTGGAAATATGTAGTACCTTCAAGGTAGAATGTCCTAGGCATTGATACACTAATGAAGGCAGCATGCTAATGTTTCAGCTAATGCTGTATTTCCTTTCCCTGTATTTTGTATTCCATTTGTATGTATTCCTTTGCACTCTACTCCAAGTACACTGTTTAAAAGGGAAATAATGAGTTGGCTTATTGGGTAATCGCATCACCAAGTGTGGCCCTGAAGTTTGCAAAGGTCATGCTTGTCACTGAGCTGGATAGGGCAGAAATTTCTTAGCTGTCATGGAGGCCATGTAGTAAATGACATTTTAGTAATATATGGAAACACATCCATATAAAAAAACCAAGAGTTGCATAGTCTACAGGTAAAAATGATGTTCCCTTTCCAAAAACAGTGGTATTAAGGAACCAGGTACTGTCATTATAACTGAATAAAGAAAGTGATATATTCATGGGGCAGACTGCAAAAGAAGACATTCATTTGAAGTGGTATGGTGTGGAAAATACATAGAAAGTGACAAAAAGAAGTGAATGGGGTAGAAAGAGTCTCCTGAAATGTTATCTGCAGGCTCCAAAGTGTCTGGCGAAAGAAAATCTGCTTTTGTCATACCTGGCTCCATGATAGTTCCTTTGATTTTAAGGAAGAGTTTGAATAAGAATGGGGGGGGGGGGGGGGGGGGGGGGAGGAAATAATTATGTAAAAACTGCAGAATTGGCTGAAGAGGAGAAACGAGAGACACATTTTTTGAGATATCTGTAGTTTTATGGGATGTTTCAAGCTTTTTACTTATCACAAGGTGCAGCATTTTCTCTTCTGAGAGGTGTCTTTGGAGGAAAAATGAAACTGTGAACAAAGCCCAGAGTGCTGTTTTGCTTAAACATGAGTACTAGAAGTATGTCCTTGGATCAGGGTGTTAAGTAACTTTTAATGACTAGCCATAAAGAAAAGAATGTGCAGTGTTGTGGCAGAACCTAAAGAGAACATTAATCGAATGTGTATTCCACCACTGGTTTTGGAGCAGAGTGATAGTCACCATTCTTCTCCAGACATTTTCCATTTTCCTATTTTACTGCAGCAGAGATTAAAAGATTGACAATGGTAAATTTAAACAAACAAACAAACAAAAAAACAGAGCCAAACAAAAAGTGGCTGCCCCATCCCTAGAAGTGTTCATGGCCAGGCTGGATGGGGCTTTGAGCAACCTGGTCTAGTGAAAGGTGTCCCTGACCAGAGTAGGGAGCTGGACCTGTGTGATCATTAAAGTCCCTTCCAACTCAAACCATTCTATGATTCTATGAGCTTAGATAAAAGGTAAGATAATAAAATTGCCAAAGAATGAAGAACTCACTGAAAGAACAATTTGGTTTGGATTTTTTGTGGTGTTTGATTTTGGTTGGTTTGGGGAGCGTTTTTCTTTGGTTGGGTTTTTTCTTGGCCAGTTGTTAATTTGACAGGTCAACACATAATTTTTTAGTTCAATTAGGCTGTTAGTGGATGTTGCAGCTCCAGTGGGGGTTTGTGTGGGGGTTGGTGTTTGTGAGGCAGATCAGCCATGGCCACGCAGTGCGCGATGCTAACGGTCAGGTCACTTCCTGCCCCCTGGGGCTGCACCTGTGTTCCACCAGCCCAGCGCCCTCGGTCTGAGGAGAGCACTGCTGTCCTGCTCTGCTGCTGCCTCAGCTCAGCCCCTTGCTTTCTCAAGTGCTTGGTTTGTTCCACCAGTGCTGTCCAGGCTCTTCCGATAAAGCAAACGGATTATCTCCCAGTGCATTCCAAAAGTATGTATGAAGGAGTGAAGTTTACTGAAGGTCTGCGAACCATGAATGTGTGCCTCAGAGGTCTCAGTGGGACATATGAGTGAGTGGAAAACCAGGTTGGAAACAAGGTATTAGGAAAACCTATTCAGCACGTGCAGTTGTCTCCTTGTAGTAGGGAGCACCTTCTCCCTCTCTTCTTGCAATCTTTTTCAAGTGTAGATCACTCATGTTAAATATATAGCTGGGAACATCTTGTGTTAAGTAGAGATATGAACCTGAACAGAAGAAGAGGTCAAGCGTGGAAATAAATTCCAGTCAGTACTGGATGATTGAGAAGTCCCTTTTCTCTCACTCCCTCTTGTTTGTAGAGGTGGTGCTTGAATTCACTTGAGAAATGAGGAGAAGAAAAGTACAGCTATGGTATTTTTAAAGGAAAAACAACTTACTCTTTAAATTCACATTAGCACCTGGAAGTGGGTGGCTCAACCCTGTAATCATCTGCATCATCACACTACTTTTTCCTGACCAGATTATGGAGTAATAAATTTTGTGATTCTCGCATCATGCTTGAATTTTTATACAAATGTTCTTGCTGTTTAGGACACAAGTTTTTGAGTGGCCAACAAACTATCTGAAATGGTTTAATAGAACATCATAGTTAGCCCACTTACTTCTCTGGACCACTTTTGGAAAAGAAGATTGATTTCTCCATAGACCAAAGCCTCTTCTCAGTTCTCCAGTGCTCCAGTGTACTTTTGTGGTCACAGCAGCAGGCACGTTCTGGTTATCACCAAGTGGTTCAAAGATGCAGCGTGGGTGTGACGTGCCCCTTTGAAAAACCATAGCTCTGCAAATAAGCTTTCTTTAGCCATATTGTGTGCATGCTTGAAGGGATTAGTAATAGATTTTTGGTTTTTTTCTTGGAAGTCACTGGAAAGCAAAAGACTAAATCTATTTTGATTTCACTCGGGATAGATTAATGGGTGTCAAATGTTACACAATACTTGACATATCCACTGCTGCTAAGTTGGCCGTGGCAAAGGGATTACCCGATAATGAATCACCAAGCTCTTTAGCTGTTTAAAGGGAATCGTGCCACTTCCTTGCCCTGGCAGGACTCTCTTCCCTGCCTGGGACCTTGCTGAGACAGTGCATGTTCGCATGTGGAAAACTCCACGCAGATGTGCAAGCACCGGCTTGACAGCTTTGTGTTCAGCTTCTACCTTGCTAATTGTTTTCGTGGGATTATTTGGATTGTGTGGAAAGCTTTTTCCAAATCCCCTTTATTACTGATGTTATTGTTGCCAGCAGGAATAAGATTAAAGGTGCTTAAGTCTGTAGAGTTGTTTCTAATTTGTACGTGTCATTTCAGTGGCATTTGAACAGAACTCTGTCTCTTCCCCTCCCTGATCCCCTGTGGTACTGTGCTTGAGTTAGGGCTGAGAAGCCAAGCTATTGGAAGAAAATTCATTTTGTTCCCTAATTATTATGCTGGCACTCGGGAGATAATTTTTCCCTTCATGCACTGCCAATTAATATGCAAATGAGCTGATAAATATTTATACCGTGATTTAAATTATGCAGGGAGCGCTTTCAGTGTACTCTGCAAATGAATTGTTCATGGACTTCAAAGTGCTGGCTGCTGTGCTAACGAGAGGAGATTTGCATAAGGCCCTAATCAGGCGCATACTGATTAAGCTTCATTATGGAAACTGCCAGCTGCAATCTTTGTTTCTATTTTATTACAAAAAGGGGAACTTTTCACGCTTCAGTCGCCTTGACAATGTCAGACACAGCTAGTAGGAGAGACTAAAACTCCACACAGCAACTGAAGTTTCCCTGTTCGGTTGAAGATTGCTATGGTGTAACTGAAGTTGTATTTCTCCCCCCACCTCCCCACTCCCTTTCATGTTCAGTCAGAGCAGTAGTGTAGATTTGATAGAAATTGCCATTCTCCCGTTCCTTGGACTATCTGAACCTGTAGAGGATACCACAGCAATGCTGGACTGCAGCGACTACGTTCTAGGTGGGTACCAGCTCAGCTCTTTCTTATGGTCACCGAGGCTGGGAGATTGACTATGCATAGTGGCTTAATCACATATGCAGAAGGTATTTGTGGGGCTGAAGCTCACCAGTGAATCGGCAGCAAATAGCTGCCTGCTAGGTGGATAGCTCGATCTGTACCAGGGAAATACATGCTTTGGTTTGTTTGTTTGTTTTCCCTCTTTTCCCTTGCTCCAGGAGAATTCGTTTCCTCTACACAGGCTTGGGTGATATTAATTCAGACCTTTTGCTTTTAGGATTTCAGTCTGAGAAGCATTTGCCTTCTAACAAACACTGGGCTTGACTTGCATATCTGTGTGTTATGCATTTTAAGGCATTAAAATGAATGAGAGGGAGCATAAGTGTTGAAAGAATTTAGTAACTGTATTGAACCATTCCACAACAGAATGTATGTTATGTGTGTGTATTTTTAATATAGCAAGGTTCTTCGTGTGTAATAGAAAATAAGGGGGAGTGCACAGTGGTTGCCATTGATACGGTTGCAAGCTGTGCTTAAGGTTACTGGGATAATATATTTCCTGCGCTGAGATTCCATCAGGACTGCGGAACAGACATGCCATAATTCCTTCTTTGTGTCTTTTAAAGTTATTTATAGTAATGGATCATCTCAATTTTACAATAGGTTTTATTTCTTTTCAAGGCTTTTCCCCCCAAAAGCTCAATGTATATATATATATTTTTTTATTAGTATTATTTTCATTCCAATCATATAAGTTCATATAAGAACATATATCTCTAAGTAAAAGGATATTTTTTTTAATGCTAAATTTTAAAGCAGACGTTTGAGTATGTTTGTTTCTGAATATGATGTGGTTTTTGAAAATTAATTTCTAAATAATTCTTGTCATGTTTTCACTCACATTAAACTTTGTTTCTCCCGTGCATATAAATGAATAATTTTTGCTGGTGCACATGGAATATTAGGCAGTTCCGCTTTTACTTTGGGTGAAAGAAAACAGTTAATGTTATATAACATGTTAAGATTTTTCTTTGCTTTGCCAGCTGTGTGCAGTCATTATAACACTTCAGGCTGGTCCGGTGTCCACTGCTGAATGCCTTTGGAAATATTCCTGAGGGTGTGTGAAAGGCTGGCACAGCACTGCCTGGCGACACCTCAGCCCTGCTAGCAGAGTAGCAGCATGGAATGTATTCACTCCTGAGAGTTTGATTTCAATCATGCACCTGCTGCTTTCGATCCTTCCTTCTGGGGAGTTTGTTTTTAGATAATGTTGGCAGAAGTTGTAGCCCAGGGCCTTTATTTAAAACCCAAGGAAGATCTAAAGGAAGAAAAAAAGGTGAAGGCATTAAGGCTTGGGGTTTTTTAAGCCCACTTCATTTGTTTATTCTTTTAAGTTTGAAGCAGAAATTGCACGAGCACATACAAACCAAGCAGCCTTTTTATTCGACATAGAATGAATCAGTAGGTTGAGTATCCCGCGGATATGAGCCTGTTTTGCTGGTAGCAGTTTTGTGCTTCAGATGGATGTCATACCATTTGCAATGGAAATAGCTGTATTGTTCTTGATGCTTTACATGCAGAAGGCTCACAGATTGAACAAGAAATAGTCAGCTGGTGAAATAATGGATGCTATCCTTCGCTTGAACCTGAGCACTACCAGAAAGATGTTTCTTCTTCTAACTTGCTGCTTTTTTCAATAGCAATGTTTGAGGTCTTTGTTAAGGATGGACCTTTACAATAAAATATTCTTCATTTAGACAGGCTTTTGGTAGTTAAGTAAACTTTGTGTATGTCTAGTACTAAAAAACCTATTCTGGAAGGATATTTTGCAGCATAGCCTGACAGAAAAACGTGTCCTGGCTTGCTTTTTGGAAAGAGGTCTGTACAGTTATAACTTCGTGTGACTGAGCAAACTTGCTCATCATGTAGGAAGGCTTCTTGTGTGAGCTTCCTCATAGGACAGAACAGTGACTGCCCTGCTTGAGTTCTGGGCACAGGACAGCTGTGTCCCCCCTCTGGGTTTAGTTTGCTTTGCTTATTCTATCATTAGTAGCCTGCACCTTGGCTCTAATACTTCAATTCCTGCAACAGATGTGGTTCAGCAAATGGATTCCATCTTTCTGAGAGACAACTTTCTCAACCTGTGCTCTTCCCTTTTGTGGTCAGTTGTATCTTGAGTTCAAGCTATTCTTCTGCTCTGGGCTTAAAATTACATCCTGTGTCCAGTAGCCTTATGAGTTAGCCTGGTTTCCACAACAAAATGTATTTGACTTGTAAGAACTCTTTGCTCATTTTCCTGTTGGATGAGGGAGGACTCTTCATATTTGTGTCCAAAGCAAAGGACTCCCATTCGGTCTTCCCTAAAGTGAAATTTCAGTAGTCATCTGTGTGTAAAGGAATGAATGAATACTGCTTATCAAAAGCATGTTGCCTATAATCACTGTAAGCATCAAACCACATTTTGTTGCCTCAAATCATTCTAGGTGTGCTGTTGCCACAACAATAAACTCAATTTAAGATATATGCAATGTCTAGATAGAAATATGGATCTCTCAGCAGAGAGGGCTAAATCAAGAGCAGACATTTCTGTATAGTCAGTAGAACCCATGTTCTGTTTCTAGAGTGTGAAACATGCCATCCATATGTGGAAAATGACAAAATAAGGAGCTTGGAAGCTATAGGTTCTGTACTTGTAACCTTAGCAGAATTCTTGTTTTTCAAGACTGAATTTGTAGCTTGAATGTGCTAAGCAGAGGTTGTGAAAAACGGCGCCAAACTTCCTCAGGTGTGGGCCAACAGCACTCAGCTGCACTCTCCTCATTCCCTCCCCCTTTCAAAAAACAGTTTAACACATCCGCCTTTATACCAAGGGTATCACTGATAGTCCAGATCTCTTTTACATGTGGCTGAACATTTGAAAGATTTAAGAATAGGCACAGGAACTTTCTGAGAAGAGTTGAGGCTCTGGAGATGTTGCATTAGCTTGTCAGGGGAGGTTTTGTGGTTGTTACAGTCCTCTGGATTTTCAAGGCTCTATTGGGTTCAACTGCCACAGTTGTTCGTGTAGAAAATTATATTAGTTTTAAAATACTGATCGCAGAATCATCAAATGATTTGGTTTGGGAGGGACCTTAAAGATTATCCAGTTTCAACCCTCCAAGCCCCCTACCATGGGCAGGGATACCTTGCTCTAGATCAGGTTCCTCAGAACTCCATCCAAACTGGCCTTAAAATCTTTCAGGATGGGGCATCCATCACATATCTGGGCAACCTGTTCCAGTGTCTCACCACCCTCACAGTAAGAATTTCTTACTAATATCCAGTCCAAACTTGCCCTCTTTCAGTTTAAAGCCATTCTCCCCTGTCACTGAATGCCCTTCTAAAAATTCTCTCCAGCTCTCTTGCAGGCTTTTTCAGGTATTGGGAGGCTGCTGTAAAGCCTTCATGGAGTCTTCTCCAGGCTCTACAACCCCAACTTTTCCAGCCTTTCCCCATGGCTGAGGTGCAGCAGCCCATCTTGGTGGCCTCTGAACTCATTCCAACAGGTCCCTGTCTTTCCTGTGCACTGGTAGTAGCAGGTGATGTCACATGGCAATACTCCTTCTCATTTCCAGCTTTCATGGGCTGCCAAGCAGTCTTGGACATTCTTGGAACTGTCTGGGGGAAAGATGCAGCACAGTTAATGCTGCTCCTGTATTCTTCTTCAGCCTACTGGTATTTTGGAAATCACTGCTTTGATGAAAGTACATGACAGAGGTAACCTTTTAAGCACCTAGCGAGAGAATATCCTGGAGTAAAGGGTTCATTTTAAGCTCATTGAACTTGCTTTTAGCTCATTATGGGAATGGAAGAGAGTGCTCTCAAGGATTTGCTTACACTTCACTTTATGAGCTGTTCTGTCTTGAGATTCTTTTTGTAATTTTAGTTTGTGATAATGTGACACACTGGGGTCGGTGGCAAGGAATGAGGAGGTAATAAGCTGGAGAGCTGATGCTGTACACAGAACATCTGTATAGATTCCTATATAAGGAAACTATATTCTGTCTGCCATCTGGAGAGGCCCTCTGCATTGCACTGTATTCAGCTGACAGGCTTTGAAACCAGGAGCAGACTTTTCAATACATTCGTCCAGAGGGAGAAAGAAGAGGAATTATTTTATATTTGTATGGTTTTGCCTGAATATATAGGAAATATAAAATAACTTAATGTCACTGACATTCCAGTAAAATAGAAATGCAGTATTAGGAAAATGGCATACATTTAATTATAATGACTGAATTTCCTTTCTTTTGTTGGGGTGGGGCAGGGGGAATAAACACAAGAATAATATAGGCCACGATGGTCAGACTTAATGTTTTTGAATCTTGGTGTAATCATTGTTCCTTCTTCCCCCCATTCTTCTTTTTCTTCTATGACTTTCATTGTATTGAAAATTAAGTTTCTACCTATCACTGCCCTCCAGCATGGTGTGTTTTATTCCCTTAATACCATGTTTTCACATATGGGAATAATGTCATAGAAAATTTTGAAATAATATTTATCTGGAAGATTCAATATTGTGTTCTGGTTTTGGTTGTTCTTTTTTTGTGTGTGTTATAAATCTGAATTAGGGTAAAGTACATAGGAAATTTCTGCTGTTCTGTACTTCCCTTGAACAAAAAGGTATGAATAGATTTGGGGATTTTTTTGCTGTATCATTTTATCTTTCTTTCTGTTTTCATGCAGACTCAAGAATGAACAATCCGTCAGAAACCAGTAAACCATCGATGGAGAGTGGGGACGGGAACACAGGTAGGAAATGATCAATTGGTGCACAGATATATTCTGGTGGAATTGAATGGATATTAAAAGCAAAATTTCTTTACTTATTTAGTGGGATTTCAAAAACCCACAAAACTAAACAAATAAAAACCTACACCCTTTGATTTTAGAGAAGCTGGGAATACTTTTGTTATTAACCCTATTGCATGTGGGGCATTATTCATACCTACTTTATTGGAGCACCATCCACATTCCTTATATAAGATTTCCCTTCCTCACTTTTCTATCTGTAATGTTTCTGATACTACAGAAGCTCTGGTGGCACTAGCTCTCCATAAATAGTCTCATTTTTTCCTGGCAGAGCATACCTTTGGCACTTCTAACTTGGTTTATTTTTGGGTTGAAATTTTCCCTGGCAGATGTGGGCCACTGCCTGATCCTGTTTCCGTTTTAGATTTCATTCAAACTGTCACAACAGTTCTCAAGAACAAGTCAAATGGAGAAAGCACAATATTTCAAAATTTTTAAAAATTTTAGCCAGCTTTTCTGTAATTTCTTAGTGGGTTAGAACAGAAAATTGAATTTTGGTTGGGATTCTGTCAGGGCCAATCTGCTGTTTGGCATACTCTTAAGATGTGACCAAATTCTAAGCCATTAAAGAAACTCATTGAACCACTGTAACTTAATCATGCTATCTCATGTTTTAATTCCTTTCTGGAGGTAATACAATGTTCATTCTGAAAGCCAAGTAAGCAAAATTCTGAATGGAAAGTAAGTAGTTTAACCTAGCTTAGAATCTTTTCTCAGCTCAGAATAGCATTTGGGAAGAGAAAATTCTGATGAGAGGGAACTTGTTGCTTTGAGAGAAGTCTGATTACCTTGTATGAGGGAAACAAGTTTTCTTCTTCATGGTTTGATAATAAGAGTTTTATTTTAAACTGGAGTTGTGGTGAAGTTTTTAATATTATTTTTAAGATGATCTATTTGATATTATTTTTCTGAGAGGTTGGATTTTTTCTGCCAATATACGAGTTCAGTGAAAAGGAGTTCTTCCTGCTTATTAACGTGTGTTTTGTTGCTGGCATCTCAGGTTTTATAATTGTCATTGTATTTTAATGGGAGAGGTATCAATTATTTTGCTGCACAGAAGTGTTTAAGAAGGGTTTAAGATGATATGAAACATTATTTCAAAAGCATATGGGCCGTAAATATTTCATGATCATAAACAGCATCAAGGGAACAATGGTTTTAAATATCCGTGTGGATGCCTTGTAGCTGGAGAATGTGTGTAAACTTCTGAGAAAATTCAGATTTCCTCCCTTGTGGGACCATAGTTCCCTGCATGTGCTTTCTCCAGAGTGCATTCCCAACACACTTCTCCCAGTTCAACTTTAGCAGCTTCACTTCAGCTGAGCTGGTGAGGAGGAGGATTTGTTTTATTCAAAGGTAATTAGTCAATTATCACAGGAGCATTGCATCTGCTTCAGCAGAACTCAGCTCTCTTAGGCAAATATTTCATCACTGTGAAGGTGGGAGTCATGGCATAAAATGGATGGATTGTAAAGCTGCATGTAGGTCCTTTCATGTTAAAAGGGGATACAATGACTGTATTTTTTTATACTCTATCATTAAAGTTAGTTATTATGGAAGTTTGACTCTGACTGGTGTTTAAAACTTTTGGAATTTTGCTTCTTTAATTTAAATGCTTCCAGTCTTTCCTTTCAGTTTTGTGTCCTGATTTTTAAATTATATGAACTAAAGTAATCTAGAATTTTTGAGGACTCTCTGTTCTGCAGTCATTGCTTTGTTTTAAAACGTAGTGCTCCTAAACCCCTGGAGGTAGTGATTGATGGCATTTGTGATGTTCTTTGGGAACTCAAACATCAGTTGTATTAGTCAACTTGGCAGATGTTAGACTCTGAAAGGAATACTCACAGAATGTAATTTTAGGCTTCTGATCGGGGTACTTAGATTATGGTTCTGGGCTCAGTGCATACTTGAGTGAAAAGAAGTCAGCTTTCAGCTTGGATGCTGAGGTACTGGAAGTGCCATTGATTTTCTGTCAGTGCCTGTGCTCCCCAGATAATGCCTGATGATGATTTTTATAAACACTCAGAGTTCTTATTTTTGTAACTTCCTCTAACTGTCTGCTTTCCAGTGACATTTGTAAATCACTTGAGTCTGCTGTGTAAACACTAATAGTCTATCTTTTAAATTTCAGTGGATGCTTGTTTGGGTCATTCCTGTTTTAAACTGTAGTGAGATAATGCTTGAAAATGTTAAGAGAAATTACTGTAGAGCGTGAATTTATATTTGGCAGAGCTGGTGTTCTCAGGAAAAAAAAAACAGTTACCACTGGTTAAAGATGACAATATCAGCAGTTCTCTGAGCAATCAGCTAAGTTTAATGGAAATTAACAAACTTGGGTTTTTTATTTTGAGCTCTGGCTATTTAAGAAACATTGTAAAGTTCTCTAATTATATTGGTCACAATACAGTGCCTGAAATATGTTATGACTTTAAATTTTTTGTGCTAACTGGACTTTCCTTTTAAGCATCTGAAAAACCAACCTGTATTTCAGACCAATTAAAAAAAAACAACCAAAACATATGAGTACAGGAGCTGTTGGATGGCTGTTTCCTTAAGAACATGTATTGAACAACTAGTCATCAGTATTGCACAGTTAGAGGAATCTTTGCCAGGCTTCAGTTGTGGGCAGACAGTCTACATAGTCAGTATCTACTGGAGAAAGAAGTAGGAAAAATATCTTACCTTACAGAAAATGGACAGCCCATCTGATCTCCTTTTTATAGGCAATGTAAAATTTTCCAAAACAGCTCAACTTTCTTGTTTGTTTAATACATCTTCTCTTGTAAGAGCTGTGTGAATGCAGAACTGTGAAAGCCAAGGTTATAATGACTATGAAAACTGTACTATTATGACATTTGTTGACATAGCAGCAAAATAATAATTATTGTAAGTGTAGTATTTGGAAGGATTCTAAGGATACTTGTTTGCATTGCTTCATTTCCAAAGATTGATTTTCCAGTTTCCATAAGAAGGAAGTCTGTAGGAGAGAGACCGTGAACTATTCTTCAACTGCTAAAATTGGGCAATTATCAATGCTGAATTTGGTATTAGGAAATGTGGATAGGGAAACAACAATTTCGGAGTATTGGGGGTATCTCTGTCTTTCAGCAAAGAGGGGGAGAGAGAGGTGAGCTGGGAAAATATAGTGCTGCGAGATGTCTTCCAGAGCACAGTGCAGATACCCACTCCAGCTGGTTTTGAAATTTTCCTTCTCCTTGGTTGCCTTCCCTTCCTGAGTTCTTTCTTGCACCTTATTCCACATCTCCCCTGATCTGGAGTTCCTCACTCCTCTTCCTTTCTAATGCAGTTTACAAACTCAGGCTGAAGTCTGATGATTATAATCTGTAATTTCGAGAGTAAATTGTTCTCCTGACTGCAGGTATGATGTTACCTTGCCTGCTCTGCTTTGTCATGCCTTTACCCTCTGCAGGTACAATTCCAAAATGCCATAAAATAATCCATGTTCAGTATCTGCTGTTCTTTTCCTTTCCTTGGAGTAGTACTCTGTTAGTCTTCATCCAAACCAGTTCTGCGAAGTACCTGAGCACATGGCTGAATTTGTGCCATATTTTAAACATGCTTGGGTTACATGGACCTTGACTGTAAGAGTGAAATTCCATCCCATTGCTGTCTGGGGGTGGAGCACCCAGACCAAAACAAACTGCTGGTGAACCACCAGGAGGAGCAGGACAGGGAGGATGGAGCTGCAACCAAGAAGAAAGGAGAGATGGGACATGGAAAGTTCCCACTCTTTTTGGGCTGTTTTTGGTGTTAGCGAGCTCTAGCAGTTGTGGAAGTTGGGATGAAGATGGAAAATAGATTAATACCCAGGACTGTTAAAATAATGATACATTTGATTGTATCTGCCATGTCTGTTAATCATCACAGGGTTTTGTATTTAACTCTTACCTTGAGCAAAAGTGGCATTCTAGTCCTTTCTGTCCTTACAATGTGCTCAACTTCTGCTTCTGACAGCTCCTATCAGATTTCTTGGATTGCATGGGAGTGATGCCACATCCTTCTGAGCACCTTAAAAGCAAGTTCTCTCATATGCTGTGCTCACTTCATCTTCCTTGCTCTTCTTCAAAAGACATGGGCATCCTGTGATAAATGCAAGCAGCCAGGGTAGCATTCTTTCCAAAATTAAGGCTTCATCCAGATGGGAAGAGACATTGTGCCTCCAAAACCAAAGAGAGTTTAAGATGCAAGTAGTAGTACAGAGAGTAAACAGGTGTGATGTGGATTTTTTTCACCCAGAATTTAGTTTTGGGAGGCCTGAGGAGAGTGAGTTGATGTCTCTCAAGACTGAATTTAAAGAAAATGTTGTTTTCTCTCAGTGCCTGTCTAAGGTGTTTGTTGGGAGCCATGAAGATTTTAAGCTCAGTCTTAGAGCTTGCTTTGTTCTAAATGATCACCTAAGAGGCTTGTTTCAGATTTCCTTAAAAGAGTCAGCAGAACTGCTAACTGGAGCATTTCTTCTGCACACTTGCACAGTAATGCTCTTTTAACATGGTATCATGATTTTTTGAGGCTCTTTTTGGAAGATAGTTAACTAGAACAGCATCACCTATTTACCTAAGGTGAGGCCTGCAGCTGATTATCTCAGAAACAGATAATTTTTTTAACCCCCACAAGTTTCCTCTTGGAATGAGAAGTATTTGCCCTCCAGAAGGTTTTCGTACCTTATTTTTTTCACTCCCTGACCATTGAAAAGTAATTCAAAACCTTTGATTAAATGAGGAGGTGGTAGGTTGTTTCTTTGACTTATGGTAGCTATTTGTCAGGAATTATTTTCATATATTTAGCCAACTACTTTTTCATTCCCTTTGTATCTCTACATGGAGATAATTCTGAAGTCTACTGGAAAGAACGAAGATAGGTAAAATTCTTCTGGTTCTTTCCAGCAGACCTTATATTCCATTCTTTGGAGAAAGGCAACCAAGTTGCATCCCTTCAGGAGCAATACAGACCAGTGAGAGTCCTTATATTCACATTGAATTGGAATTTTAGACTAATTAAGAAAAATAATTTGATGCAGTTTAAAATTGGAATATTTTTAACACATTTGTGGGTCTTTGGCTGCATGTATGTCTCTTAAGTTTGTAAACCTTGGCCCAAAGCATAGAATTGAAAACTTGGAAGTCAACCAAATCTTCCCACACAGAACCCTCACCAAAGATGCATCAAAGGACCACCTTAGATATACTTTACATGGATGGTAGAAAGTTTGATATTATGTCAGTGTTTAATTGAACTGTGGCTCAGTCTTTGGAGATGTTACCTGTGTAAGCTGTTTGCAGGTCAAAATCACAGTGTGAGGTATTGGACAGTCTATTTTACTAATCACATTTTATGCCTGCTTGCTGTTGCAGGTATTTCCAAGGAATAGCCACCACCTGTTGTTGTTCAACAACTGTGACTCTTTAGCTCAGTAGATAACCTAGGTTTTTATGGCAGAGAATGTAGATGATGGAATGAATTTTGAAGTAGGAGCTACTATGCACACCTGCCTGTGGGCACTAAACAAAATCTGATTGTCATGATGAATAAACATGCAAGTCTAGAGCTGGTTTTGCTTCATTGCAGTCACGCAATTTTAAAGATTGCATCATCTGTTCTAGAAATTCCCTGCAGCCCAACACACTTGGAGTATCCCTTCCTGTTATTAGCCATTGTGGGTAGAAAAACATTTGTTTTTTTCTTTTCACACACAGATTATTTAGTGATAATTGGGGGGTTTTCATGTCTTCCAAGCAGTTGAAGAAAAGATTGCAAAAATGTAGGAAAATAACTAGGTTTTAGTTACATGAGAGTAAGTGAAGAAGCAGAGGCAAGCCCAGGCAGTTATCTTATCTAATGAGACCTGTGAACAAACTTCTACAGAAATGTAGAGGGGTCATTTCTGAAAAGAGCAAAACTGTGGCCCATAACTGCTGTATATAGATGGGATTTCTGTTTTTATCAAATGTTATTTTACCTGTCTTTTAGGGAAGGTGCCTTTTTTATGAACCTTGCTGTTGGCACTTTCTGAACTAAAAGTTAGTCTTCAGCTATTGGATAGAGGGTGCATGGAGAATGGAAACACAGTTTAATCATAGCAGCAAGCACCCATTTGGTTCTCAAACTGTGTAGAGAGTGATGGGATAGTAGTGTACATAGAAAAACACGGGTCATAGAATTGTTTAGGTTGGAGAAGCCCTTTAAGATCATCAAGTCCAACTGTTAATGCTGCCAAGTCCCCCATTAAACCATGTCCCTTAAGTGCCACATATGCACATCTTTTAAATATCTTCAGGATACCCATATAGATGATGGAAGCTAAAGAAAATATGATGTTGATTTTGTTCAGCTGACAAATGCTCTATTACCGAAGCCTCGACTCTGCTTCCCACCACATTTTTGCAAAAAAAAAAAAAACAAAAAACCCACAAGCAATTGTTGTTACTCTCAGAGTGTTTTTTTACTATATAATCTTGAGAGAATAGCAGGAAAGTTGGAGTGTTAATTCTTATTGCACTTACTAGAAGTAGTAATTAATTGTTTTCAATATCTCTCTTTCTCCAGGCACGCAAACAAACGGCCTGGACTTTCAAAAGCAGCCTGTGCCTGTCGGAGGAGCAATCTCTACAGCCCAGGCCCAGGCCTTCCTTGGGCACCTTCATCAGGTAAGAGAAGAGACATTTCCAACAGAGGAGACTCAGCTGCCCTGGTGTGTTCCATGTTCTCTCTTTCTGTGAATGATGAGGACTTGTTTATTAGAACATAAATATGGGTACATCACCTGGTTAATGAGCGTGGATGAGATAAAGTCCTATTTGTGGCACTCACTTCATTGCATTAGACTGCAGAAGGTGTCAAGATAGGGTGAGACCTCTTTGGGAGAATTACAAACCACATTTTTGGGGACTCGAGAATGCCTAAATGTTGTGGTGTGTTTTTGAATAGGTTTTTTGTCAGATTGCTTTGTTGTTGTTGTTTTAACCGTGAGATACCACATTCAGAGGCAAGAAAAATTTTAAATTTTTTAGGAAAGGACTGTATTGTCCCAACCGCTGCCAAGGTTCCAAAATTGTCACTGTCTAGTTAAAAACACTCTTACAGATTAACTAGAAAGAAAGTTGATTGTACTTAATAAGCATATATGGCTTGTGAGGTTTTCTTCTTTCACAAAAAAGTTATTCCAGTGACCTGTTTGTCAGATGATATTCAGACTTCTAATACCATCCCTCTGTTCTGCTGCTGCTGTGTTTAGGGAATCAAAGCTGAACTTCAGATGCAGGCTGAAGCAAAATGGGGCATCCCTAGGTGAAGAGAAGTATAAGGGGCATTTTTTTGTAGTTTTTTTATCTGTTCGCACTTGATGTATGAAAACAAATGTCCTAATTTCTTTCTCTTCCTCTGCACCAAGTTAAACTTTAAAATACTGTACCTAATTGGATGACCTTGGATGTTTGAGGTCTGAGGTTGCACAGTTATTGTGGTATAATTGAAGTACTGAAGCTTTTATGCCCTCTTTTAAGAGCTCTGAACTGCCGTTTTATTGTATGGAACATTCCACACGTCTTGTCACATAATTGCAATTTTCCTAGCAGATTGGTTTATGTAGGACTAAGGGAGTGCCACTGTTTGAATTTGCTGAACCAATAGGCTGTTGTAGGCTACCTTTATGTGGAGAGAAGCTTGCTGGTGTGTGTTTAACATGGAGACGGATACAGCTGTTCTGCAGAATTCTGTGTGTTTGTTTTAGTCTTCATTTGTTATATAGATTGACCCAGAGCAGTAACTGGGTTTTGCACAGTGCTTCATCCTGCTTTGGAAATTTATTTATTTAAACAGTTGTCAGGATCTTTATAACTTCATGTTTGATAAAGTGTGATTCATTTCTTGAAACTGGTTCAAAGGAAAATCTCAGGTATTCTTTTATTCACCTGCAGGTGTGTGGGAATCTATTGTCAAACTGTCCTCTGCTAGTCCTCTGCTAGTGAGGCTGCTGTTAGTAGGATGTTATTCAACCTTAACACACAGTGCTTTGCTCTAGACTAATGCAAAATACTGAGCTGTAGGCAGCATTCAGGTACAGTTTAATTTCTAATTTGGAAATGTTGGCTGTGTGGTGAAAGTGATGTCCAAATTGCATTCACAGAGATTTTCAGGAATGTGCTGGCTGTACCTGAGCAATCAATATGTATTTGTAGTCCTTTATGTGGTGTTTGTGTAATGTTAAAGTATTATTTTGAGTATATTGTTTGGTTGGCAGGGTGGTGTTATTTAGGCTATTCTCTACTGTTAATCCATGGTAAAAGCACAAATTACATCAACTGTGTCAAACTGTATTTTGCTTTTGCTGAGGAGGGGCTTTTCTGGGAGTGTTTGCTTTGATGTAGATTATTCTTAGTATGTCTAGTACCTTCATCTAAAGCAGTAGGAAATATTTCCAAGGTTATTCTTCCAACGTTTCATGTTCAAAATATTCAGTTATTAACTCCATGTACTGCAATTTTTCCTGTGCCTGAAAATATGTGGAATTTTCTGTGTGGGGACCATATAGTGGTCCTCCATCTAGAGGCAAGAGTGCTACATTTTGCTTTGCTTTGTTGTATTCTTACATGCCACCTGGTTTTCAAATGAGCAGTGGTTTTCAAACATGTCCAGAGATGGAATTCTCTACAGGCTGTTACTCTGACCTTTGAAAGTGTTGGTAATTAATTACAGAGCATTCCTTCTTTGTAACTAGGGGTGCTGGTAGAAACAAGGCGAGACTGATTCAAATGGGTTTCAGTAAATGAAAATACAGCATTTTTTATACAGAAGAACTCCTCATTAGAGATGAAACAGCACTCCAAAAATCTTACCTTCTGAATCATCCATTTTTCCTTGCTGCTCACTCATAAGACCACCTTTGGGCCTGTTAATTACAAACATTGAATTCAAGTTTGATGTATACCTGAATCAATACAGCCTTTGTAAAGTGTCTCCAGTGCTCTGTGTTGAGATCTTCTTTTCAGTGGCTGAGGGCTGCAAATACTTGAAGGAGTTAATTTGAAGGAGAGTGGTTATGCTCTGGGTTCTGTGCTGTGCATGTGCTTGCTCATATCAGAAAGCTGATGAGTTCAGTGTTGGGTTGACCCATTCTGAAATGGGAGTAGGATGACAATGAGTAGAGTTTAATGCCTTGCCCTGGAGCCTGGATTTTTCCAGCAGGGATAGGACTAGTTGGCCTGTCCACACCAATATGCTCTGTTTCCACTCCATACATGGTGATATCTACATCCTTAGGCAGAGATACCTTTAGTAAGAGGTAGATAAACAGCATTGTGAAAGAGTCTTCACACATCTGTTTCAACCTGGAGTACAGCCCCCATTCCACTGATTCAGGTGTTAGAGGGGCATACTCTGTTCTTGGGGGAGTTTTTTTTGAATGCGGGTGGGGAGATTGTTCTTTTTACATTATTAGTTTTCTGTGGATTCTACATTATTTCATTTCCATTTTTGCACTGTTGTAGGTCCAGCTCGCTGGAACAAGTTTACAGGCTGCTGCTCAGTCCTTAAATGTACAGGTAAAGACAGTTACCTTCTGCTGCTCATCCTTCTCTCACCCCAAACAGCATCAGTAGAGATAGTTCTTAACCTATGATACATTACTCAGTTTTTTCAGTCTGACTAGTTTTGCAAGTGATAGGTAAGAAGGAATAACACTTCTACAACTGTAAATCAGGTTCAGGATTTGTAAGCATACAGGCTCTGGAGTTGTTTAAAACATGGAGTGACCATAACTTAATGCTGAATTTTAGTCAGGTGTGGTATCATGCAATCCTTAAAACTCCAGGAATAATTCATGTTCTTCTTTTTTTTAACTTACTTTGAACATGTAGTGAGTATTACGTTGCAATTTGTCCTTCTGGTAACTGAATATAGGAATATAACCTAGCATTAAGTATATAATGTGGCTAGTTCAGACTGCTTGTGTAAATAACACACAGTGATCTCAAAGTCAGAGTAATTGTTATTTAATAATGTTTGTGAGACAACAAAGCTTTCGAACTTTCCTATGATGTTGAGCACTTCAGTTTATCTGTTAACATTCTACTTCCTCTCTGTACTATATTAAAGGGGCAAGGGATGCAGTTTTATTGAAAACTGGTTTCAGTATTGCATGTTATTAAAGAATGTAGGTAGTGCATTACATGAAATGCAATAGAATGTGGACCCACTTATACATAATAACAATTTGGAAAGAAGAGGAGGTATAGTGACCTTCCTTTCTAAGAGGAAGGAGGCAGAAAATTGCCTTGGTTGCCATGGTAAACTTCCATCCCTGAGAGAGATGTTGGCAAACAGGCTGTATCTCCAGTGCAGAATGTTTACAGTCCTGTGCTGTAATTATCGCTCAATGACTGGCAGAATTAATCAGAGCCTTTATGTTAATTAGCCTGCTCTGCAGTCCCCAAAACAGGTGGTGGAGAATATGCAAATCTATGCAGAATTGTAATGTTCTGCATAACCAGTTTTAATTATCATAAAACTCGCTCCCCCCTTCATGCACTTGCATTTCCTCCCTCATGTCTTCACAATTTCTTCTTTAAAAAAAATGAACAAGCAAACCACAAAAATAAATCAAAATAAACTTGAATCTTTTAAAATAAAGCAGTATTCAATTAAATAAATGCGCTGAGTATTTAAAAGCACTGTATATATTATATATCTTGCTGTAGGTAGAGAAACCTGTGAGGATTTTTCAAAAAGGTTCTGTATAAGCCAACAGTATGATGACTTAGAGGAACAGGATGGAGATAGAGTAAATGGAAACGCAGTCTCCTTTCCCTCATTCCATTGTTCAGCATTTTAGGCAATGAATAATTTTAACAACCTTCTCTTTCTTCATGGTGAAAGGTATAATCAGCTTCAGTTGCATGGTGTAAAATGAAGTGAGACCTGAAAATAATGTCAGAGAGTTACAGGAGACCAGAGAGTCTCTTTGTTTTCCTTAAGCTGCATTACCTACCGACGTGTCTCAGCAATCGTAGCTGAGATGGTGGGCACACAGAACCATTGCTTAAACACACTCTTAAAATAAACCCAAGGGCTTTTCGTATGCAGATGAAAGATTTTTATTGTGCAGTGTTGAGATAGCAGCGTCATACATTAACATCTGTTTTACACTATAAAGAGTTGTATTTTTTTTTGACTAGTCTAAATCTAATGAAGAATCTGGGGACTCTCAGCAGCCAAGCCAGCCTTCCCAGCAGCCTTCAGTGCAGGCGGCCATACCCCAGACCCAGCTCATGCTGGCCGGAGGACAGATCACCGGGGTAAGAGTTACCCAGGGATGCTGCAGTCCCACACAGGTGTCACTGCAACTTCCTTTAACGTAGGAGGAACTTCAGTGGAAGTGGCAACAGAAAATATTTTCCCAGAAAAATAAGCAGACTGTAATATTTCGGGTTTGTCGCTAAGTATTTGCTTCCGAACAACAGCAACAAAGAATTCTTTCTCTCTGTTCTCAGTATCCCTTTTGGCCCTGCAATGAAATTAAAACCTGTTGTTTTGCAACAGTTACAAATGAGACACTCACTGATGTGATAAAGAGGAATTTTTATTTTTTTTCAAGATTAAAATGAGGCATGGGGGAGAACAAGACTGAATCTTTCAGATGGGTGAAGAACAAAAATTCTTGGAATTGTGCATTTTTCCTCTTCTCAAACAAATTTCTTTTTAAGTAACTCTATTAGGACTTTACTTAAGCCTGTTGAACCATTTTTTTTTTAACCTACTGATTTTGAGGTGTTTTTAATTGCAAAGCTTTGGGAGTATATATGGGATAATTGATTTTTTAGGCTTTCTGGTGTTTCTGAATTGTTGTAAAGGCTTTCAGTCATTTCAGAAAAGAGCAAGTGTGTGAATTATTGCTTCCACATAATCAGCTTTGCAGTGTAAGAGTTTGTGTGTTAATAAGCTTAGGGCAGTTGCTCCAACAATATATTTATGATTTGAAGTTAGGTTAGATCATCCCTACACTTACATGAAATGACTTCTTAATCTCAGGCTCAGTTGTTAAATCTTCTCCTATGTTACTATGTAAATAAACATCCTATTTAGTTTTCAGATAAGCATTGAAAGTTTTAAAAGTGAGACTGTTTCAATGTGTTTTTAAAACCTGGCATATTTTATTATTTTTTGTATTCTCAGAAAATACTGGTTTGTTGTAATGCATGATTGTCTGCTGTAGTGAAACATTCAGAACTCCAGGCCTATGCAGATATGGGTTGTCGTAAATATGGGCATCAAGATTCATTTACATGTAAAGGAGAGACTGCTGCCACCTGTTCCACAGAGATAATGTGTGTTTGGGAAAGGGAAGGGATGTAAAGTTGCCAACTCTATTCTATTAAAAAAAAAAAAAAGGCAGATGGGGAGACTTGGAGAGAAACAAATGGAGCTCATGTTCTTTACTTATATCTTAGGGCATAATAGAAATGATGGAATATGGCAGGGATTCATGCTAATGTGAAGCAGCTGGGGTGTTATCAGTTTGTTCAGTAGCCATAGCCAGCATTCCTGCTTCACATTCATCTGGCTAATCACTTGCTGTTCTGCTGGGTGTAAATTTCCTTTCAAATCCTGGCAATAGTGATTCTTTTCTTTTGCTTGCTACTTAATTGCTTTTTCCCTGAAACTCCTGGTAGAGTTGTGAGGAAAACTTAGGAGCAGAGTTAGGTTCTGTAGGTTCCAATAAGTGCAGATGTTGGTGGTGGTGCAGTTTGGTTTGTGTCAGGCCTGTGTTAGGTTGGTTCCCACATTGTATGGAGGAGCCAGCTGTCCTTCCTTCAGGCCAGAGCCCTTGGCCAGTTAGTGGAATAACCCTAGGATTGCCTGGTTAACATAACTAGTACTGAGCTATCTAATGACTTTGTAGCTGAAGTGGCTCTTCCCATTATTAATGGCTGTGTTTTCTAATTGTTTATAGCTCACGTTGACGCCAGCCCAGCAACAGTTATTGCTCCAACAGGCGCAGGCCCAGTTGCTGGCGGCTGCAGTGCAGCACTCAGCCAGTCAGCAGCACAGCGCTGCTGGTGCCACCATCTCGGCCTCTGCTGCGACGCCGATGACGCAGATCCCTCTATCTCAGCCAATACAGATTGCACAGGTGAGCCTTGAGGCTTGAGAGGGTGGAGAACAAAAGAGGTTTTTGACTGATTGCACCATTCGAATCAAATTCGTTGTTCCTCGCTCAGTGAGTTGCTAGAGTCCTCGAGTATTGTTAGTTTTTTCTTGTGTTTTGTTGGATGGTGAGGTTGAAGTTTGATAGTCTTAGCAAGGAACGTGTGCCAGCTGCTCCTCAGTTCCACTGGGCTTCTGAGTTTGTACCAGAATCTGAGTAGATGCTGTGTTTTCTGAGTTTTCCTCCTTGTAGTTAGCGTGAGGAAGGAGAAGAAAAGGTATGGAAAGATGCCCACAGAAGTTGCACTTGTTAAGACCTGCATGGATGGGAAGTGATGGCTGTGTATCAAAAAGGATACTTGTCGGACCCAGATGGTGCTTGTTAGAAGCAAAATGGTAGAGCTGAAGAATGGCAGTTTGACTTGACCCATTTGTGTGCTATTTTGGCTTGGTGTTTAATGCTGTTTGTTCCAAGGCAAAGAATGGCCACTCTTGTGTGACTGGAGAAAAAGTTGGAGAATGAGTCAGGTGTTGGAATCTGCCCAGTCTCATGGTCTGGTGCTAAAGACATGTCAGTTCTGAAGGACTGCTCTCTGTGGATGGTCTGCTTACTAGAAGCAATAAGGAACCTCCTGGGTCTTCCAGGACTGGCTTAATTCAGTGTGGAGATTGCAGTGGCACTAACTCTGTGCTTACTGTATGTGGTGTGGAAAATCCTTAGACCTGTGGACAAGGATAATCAAATGTCCAGCTTAAACATCTTGAGTACTATGAGGTGGGGATTGTCTTGCTCATGCTGAGGTCTATCTTTCCATAGATTAAAGCTCTTGGTTCATAATACCAGTTTTCTTAGTCTAGCTGTGCAAAGAGTGTGGAGTATATAATCTTCAAAGTCACTGCTTCATAGAGTCGGCAAGTTCTTTAAGTCTCTGATGCTTTCTGTTCAGGCTATTTTCTCTTGCATTCAACTGGGATGAAGTGTCTAAAAAGGGAACATGAGGTCTGATTAAGGACAAGAATGAAAATGTTGCAATTGTCTGTGAAGTCCTTTACTGTGCTGGTCCAATAGCTGAATAACAGCCTGGCTGTGCTATCAGGTTTTCATTAGCTGAAGTGACAAACTTTTGTGGTGTTGGTCTAGAAGTTCTGACCTCTCTAGCTGTCCTTAGGCCAGAGTGGTGCCATCCTATTTTTAAAAGGCTAGTGCTGATGTTGCTGTGTTGATGAGATTCCTTCCACTGAAGCTCTTGTTGCAGTGTGAGAAGTCGCATCACCAAATAACACCTCTTTTAGGAAAGGATTCCACTTCACTGGCATGATATGGAGATGACTGAAGGATGTAGCATTCAAGGAAACTTGTAATTCTCAAGATCATATCATAATTTTAAGACTGTCTGTAGGCAATAATGCAGACAGATTTCAAGGAGAGAATGGGGAATGTCCTTGTCAAGGAAGTTGTTGGTTATAGCTTCTGACATCTTTCCATGCACCTGTCACAGAGTTCCCATTTGATGGGATGTGAGTCTTTTAACATATATGTAAGCAATCCACAGGTGTGTGCTTCTCCTCTTCCAGGTGTGCAGCTTAAAATAGCAAGGTCTGCTTTACTGAAGTGTGGTACCTTGAACTATCTGACCTTAGGTTTGTCAAATAGGCCACCAAAGCACTGGATACCATTGGTGATGCATGTGAGAGGTTTCTAATCCTGCTCTCCCGCCTCACTGCAAAGCTCTGAAAATGTGTGAAGCACTTACAATTATTAGTTTTGTACTGCCTTTTGCTCCAGAACTCAGAAAATCTTCAGAGAAATGTTTGAGGGGAGTTGGAAAGATCAGGCATATGCTACCAAATAAGAGTTTCCGAAGGCAGCATTGTCTGATTTGTGCACATGAGTGAGCTAAAGGCTCTCTGAAAAATAGCATGTGATCTTGTAGTTGCCATGTGCAGAACAAATTAAAGTTGTACTTGTTTTCTGACATTTTTAATTACTTAAGTGCTTGACTTTACAATTAATGTGTTTTAGGATAGATTATTTTGATACATAAATGAGTTTGGTTGAAGCTTGTTAACTGCTCCTTATGATGAAAGTGCACGGCATAAATTGTGCAGGTGTTGCATCTAATTTGAGGTACTTATGGAAAACATCTACCATCTAGGTTCATAGGTAGATAGCACCATGCTTGCTTTGATCCATCTTGGCAAGGATTTGTAAGCAGTGCTCAGCTTTGTTTGTGTTGCTATTGTAAATATATAGCTGATTATACAAATAGCTGAATGTTTGTTTTAATTGATGGTTTTTGAATAATTGATTAACTGGCAGGTCTCTGCAGCAGGAGGATTACCATATTTATTTTAATTAACTAATTGCAAAAGCATGACTTCTTTAATGTGCACTGCAGTTCACGTAAGGTATCTGCTGCAGCAGCCTGGTGAGGAGCTCATGCTGCTCCTGATTTGACACTAAACAGTTGTGTATCAACTTCTGGGGTTCTTAATAAACTTCCTTGTTTTCAGGGTCTATGCTTCCAGGGTCTATTTATATGATGTAAATCTCAAAATGAGTCGATGCTTAAGTTTGTGCTGAAGCTGTAATTGGAAATAGCATTGAATTTAGAAATTTAGATATTTTTTTTTAACAAAAAAAATCTTCCTCACAGCAAGACATAGCACTTGATAGATTATTCTGCTGAGGTGGGATTTGGATTGTTTTGATCTTTCTAAATTGCTAGGCAGCATGAGAAGACATGCATGTCTCCCTGAAAGTCTTCCCATTTCTTTCCATGTGCTTATGGTAGCATACAGATTTTAACACTGAGGAAAGAAAGATTGGTATAGGAGAACAGTGTCAGGTTTGTTTGTGTGTTTGCTATTGGGAGATTTATTGTAATGGTATAATTAACTAAATAATAAAACTTTCCCAAGGTGGAAATAAGGCTGGATTTCAAATGCATTTGAGGGGCTGGTAGGGCTATTTAGGAGTGATTAGCCTTGGAGGTATCATTTTCATTTTGCGTTGCAGAATTATATTTCTGTATTTAAACAAGACTTAGCCAACATACCATTTACCAAGGCAGATGCACAGAATAAGATTGCTTATATCAGTTCCCCCTGAGGCCTCAATTTAAAAACAGTTTTCTCATATTAAAGTGTAAGAGCCTGATGATAAGAGCTGTCATGTCTTGGCTAGGTAGCCAGTGTTATGAATACTATAGTCTTAAACAAAAAGCTCTCCTCCTTTGATCTTACAGGTACATTGCCACTGTTTCTTTGTATTCTTTCTTGCATGTAACTCTGTCTCCTGTGGGGGTGCTTCAAATCATCTGAGATCTCCTTGGTCATCTGTGTTGATTTCATTTGTTTGCTTTTGATTGGGAGAGGTCCTTAACCTATCTGTTTTTCCATTGATACTTTTATTTTCCACAGTGTCTTCCCAACTCTTCCTTTTGTGTTTATGTTTTTTTTTTTTCTCTTGTCTACTTCTGTTTTCATCCTGCAGCCTCTCTTTATTTCCTTTCCTTCTGCCCAGTGTTCACAAGCTCAGTCAGCTTGCCCAGCTCTTTCCATTTCTGTTTTCAGCTCTTCATCCAGTCCTCACATCCATTCCAATATGAGCCCCCTCTGAGCTGGAGGGCCAGTACAGTCTGCAGAGGCAACCAGCTGAGCATTGAAAATCAGCGAATAAATGAGTGGAGATCCATGTTGTGTTGAGCTCAAGAAGTAAGAGGTTTTGGTTGTGGTTCTGACCTAGGATAAGAAGTTATAAAAAACATAGAGTTCCAGGATAGAACTGGAGTAATTATTGCTCTCTTTCATGAAGGAACTTTGCCTTGATTTCATAGGAATTGTTGCATTATTTCTGCAATTTTCTGAAAGCAAACAATACCATTGACTTTAAAACCACTTTTTTGCTCGTGGACACTTTTTAAAATTTTACTATTCTCTTATAAAATGGAAGTTTCTATTTGTTGAAGACCATTGCTTGATCAATCCATCTGGTGTCTGTCTACCATATTATTACACTGCATGCTTTGGACTTAACAGGGCTAAGTAGCCCAAGTGATTGATGACCAGTGTCTGTGTAATGCAGGTTAAGTAGTCATTTTCTTATAAAGTCTGTCTATGGTCTCATAAATCAGTGGACTCCCTATTTTTTCCCCTCTCTAGTCTTCCTTTCTGACATTCCCCACCCCTCATCTCCAGAAGGAGATTTTTGCAAGTTTCAAGTTACAGTTTTAACAAATTAAAATAATGTAAGGTCACAGATAACAGCGTTGTGTAAGAAAGAAGTTCTCCTTCTCAGTGTGTCTTGACTTCTATCTGCAAATCCACTGCTGGCAGTGAATGGCCTGTCCCATCCTCTGGCTGAGCAGGTTGTGGGAGTGCTCAGTCACCTGCATCAGCCCAAGGAGCAGCTCTTTGTTCCTCAGGTGTGTCTGGGGCTGTGTGAAGGTGAACAGTTCCAAGCAGCCACACCGGGCACTGCTGCACCTGAACAGGGTTTCTCTGCAAACAGGGACCTGAATGACTTCCCTGAAACAGAGCTTTGGGGGAGTCTTCTTGTCTGCTTGGTTTGGTTTGTGTAATTTTTCATTCAGGCTTTTTTCCACCTGATGGGTGAGTATTTTGAAATAGATTCTTCCTGGAAAGATGGAAAAATCCAATAAGTGTGTTTAGATAGTTTTCATGGATTACCACTGTTATGTTGACTGACTTCACAGTGTGTTTTTTAAATTTCAGTTGCGCTTGCTCTTGTGCTGTTTGGAGATGAAAGATAAAAGGCTGTTTATGGGGAACAGTATTTTTAAGCAGTTCTCTGTGTTTTCATTCTCCAGCTAAATGTCAAGTTGAAGCATTTTTCTTGAAAACTCAGTTTCTCAGAGATTAACATTTTACACTGAGACTTGTAATTTAATTATAGAAAATTAATAGTCCTGAATGGTTTAAATACATAAAAGTAGGGTCCTACAATAATGCAGTCTTTTGCATTATTCCTTTTAAACTTTCATTATAGTCATCTCTATTAAGCGTAATTTGTTTCAGAACAAATGAAACATATTTACTAATTGAGTTAGCTACTTTCTGAAATTTGAACTGAAGAACCAGAGTGCTAACAAGGAATCTGTACTATTTTGCTTTCCTGTTGTTGATTCAAATGGTAATTGCAGACTGTTGTTACAAAAAAAAAAAAAAAAAAAAAAAAATAGCTCCCAGCTAATATGCTTGATTTGTAGCAGAGTTCCATCCTCAGAAAATAAGTTTGAGAGATCTTTGTGCTGATAACTTTAATGTATTTTAAAACTCCTGAATCTGTGGGGGAAGGGAGATTGGTTTGCTTGTTTTGTTTTTAAAACAGAACAGTTATGGGTATACTTTGCTGGGTTATGTAGTAAATAACTTTGGTTTTAAGAATGAAAGTGAAATTCAAATTGCCATTCTAAAGGATATTCAGTAGCAGGACTTCTGCTGTGTTTGACATCCACTTTTATCTCTAAATGTTAGAGTGTACCTGGTTGATAGGAAATATTGTATTTGGAATAATTGCTGACTTACATGTCTAACACACAGCTCTTTCTTTTCTTTTTTTTTCTTTTCTTTTTTCTTTTTTTTTTGTCTTCTCGTTTTTTGCTTTTTTCTTTTTGTCTTCTCTTTTTTTTTCTTTTTTTTTTTTTTTTTTTTTTTTTTTTTTTTTTTTTTTTTTTTTTTTTTTTTTTTNTTTCTTTGTTTCCTTATACTAAAGCCGGTACTTTTTATTTTGTTTTTCTCAGATGTAATCATTAAGTACAGTCTCTTGTTTACATAAAACTTACACTTCTATTTTTTCTTTTTTCTTCTTTTTTTTTTTTCCCCCCTTCCCGTTTCCTTAAGGATTTGCAGCACTTGCAGCAGCTTCAGCAGCAGAATCTCAACCTGCAACAGTTTGTGTTGGTGCATCCAACAACCAACTTGCAGCCAGCACAGTTCATCATCTCACAAACGCCGCAGGGGCAGCAGGGTAAGTGCTCCTTGCCACAAAAGCAGATTGTACATAGCATTTTTTAGGGGAGAAAGTGAAACTCAGATGGTTCATATCAATGCCCAGCCCTCTCCCAGGCAGTGGCTCCCAGCTAGCTTTCCCCCCCTAGGTTTATAGCCCGAGTATGAGACCACGTGTTGTGGAATATCCCTTTGGCCAGTTTGGGTCAGTTGTCATGGCTCTGTCCCCTCCCAGCTTCTTGTGCCTCCCAGCCTGCTTGCTGGTGGGATGTGTGAGAAGCTGAAAATTCCTCCTTGACTCTAAATACTGATAGGCAATAACTAAAACATCAGTGTGGAATCAACATTGTTCTCATCCAAAATCCAAATCGCAGCACTGTACCAGCAATTAAGAAGAAAATTAACTCTATCTCAGTCAAAAGCAAGACAGACTGGAAAAAAGATTACAAAATCAAAAGTCCTTGTGGGAGTTTGGAAAAGTACTTAAGCCTAAAGAGGGTACAATGAATTTTATCATAAACTGAACTAATAATTAACACCTTGGGAAAGGAGCTAGAATGCTGGATTTATGTACCAGCTCTTATAATAATATTTTGGCAATGCACTGGGTATGAGTTCCGTGCAAAGACAGACAAGGCAGTGGTAGGTGGTGCTGTGTCAGAGCAGTTAAGTATACTAGCTTTGTTCTGAGGACTGATGTGTTCAGGCTGCAATGCATCACAGTGCTGATTGCACCCCATTTGTTGATGCCCACGGAAAACTGCATTTAGCCATGGCTTCTTATGCTGATATACTCCAATGGCCTTTTTTCCCTCCATTCTCTTCTACATGAACTCTACTCAGTTGTTCAGGTCTGGTAATCCAAAGATTCTTGCTCAGAAGGCAAATCCTGTTATGCTTGAAGAGTCCTGCAGAGCCTGGCTGTCCTATAAAGCAGTTCTTTGCACCTCATTTTTTTCTGTTCCTTTCAATTTTTTCATGCATCATTCCTTCTTACATACTATGACTTGGATAGAACTGGCTTTCCATTACGCTGAAGGGCTCTTACTGTCTGAATGCTCTCACATTTGAATAAAGGGTTAGTCAAAATTACCTTCCTTTTAATAGGACTTGATTTAGGAGAGATTTTATACCAGTACTGGAAGAAAATGGCTGAAAGGCTATTCATGAAAGCATTTAATGATGTACTCCTTTCTTAAAATGAAGCAGAACTTGTAAACTTAACATACGGTACTAGAAGAAATCAAAACACTAAAATTTAGCTCAAGAATTCTTCAAAGTAGGTGCTTGGTTGTTTTTTTTTTAATAATTTTTTTCAAGAAAAGAGCAAGCACAAAAACATTGTTTTGAAAAACTCATTGGTATTGATGTCTGCCTACATTTTTCAGCCAAATTCTACTGGTTTTCTAAACTACCTTTGAAGATGCTTTACAAAAAGGAAAACTAAGAGAAGCAAATTGTATTCATCCCCCAAAATGAGTTGTTTGCATTATAGAAGTGAAGGCTTTCTTGGTTGCTTCAAATCTTCTGAAGTAGAATAAGTACTAGGTGAGATTTTCATAGTGCCTTTTCCAGAGGCCATCCCTGAAAAATCATTTCTTCGCTGCAATTTAAGACCTGCATATTGCTGTCATCAGTGACGCAGTGTAGGTAGAGGCATCATGTTTTACTGGTAATGTGCAGCCTGGACAACTGAATAGCTCAAAAATGTAGGAAGATTTATATGCTGAATTCTGACCATAGGCCAGAAATGCTGAAATGCTTTAATAGATCTCATTTTCTTTATGACCACTCAATGATAACGCAACATGTATGTCATAATACCCCTTATATCACTTTTTGATATGTTTTTTTTGCAGTGTTTCATGGTTATTGTTATAAGATCTCAAATAGTACATTATTATTTATGAGAACGATTGAGAAAGTGTGTATTTTTATTTTTGCTATTTGCTGTTGCATCTGACTTTTCTATGTTGTTCATGTCCTATTGCTCCATTAGTCAGCTTCATAAAGTAATAAATATTCTAAAGAAACTAGCATAGAGATTTCTTCAAAACTAATGGCATTATTTTTTTTTTTTTTTTTGATCCTTCATTGGTACTGCATGGAGCTTTATATATGTACACATTTAATAACAAACATAAAAATTCTTGAAGGGGTTGAACAGAGAGCAGAGATCCAACTTTTGAAAAAAATAGGAAATTCAATGCCTAAAATATTAATCAATAATCAGGATGTTATTCTACTATCTTTCTGCAATACACGTATTATAGCTCCCAGCAGCAGATAGGAAATTTTCCCCATAAATCCACTGCTGTATGTCTAATGTAGTCACCTTCCTTTTCCACACAATTTCTGGCTATTTAGGGAGTTATATGAAACAAATTTTTAGGTTCCCATTTTTCATGGCTGATAATTGATAACATCATAACTGAAAGAATTGTTTCAAGCCTCAGCAGATATGGAAAAGATTGAATGGAAATAGAAATTTTGAACATTTTCTTATTCAGTGCAACTGTTGTTCATATTATTGTTAAAGTCACCAGCAGGAATGTAGCACCTTGTAATACCTTTATATCTCTTGTATCTATTCTTGTATCTAATAGAGCTGTCTCTAAAATAATCAATTTAACATCCCCTACTACAATTAGAGCTGCTTCTAAAAAATATTACCCTCATCAGGTGACTGTTCACCTTTTTACTTGTGAGATATTGCTAATACAAATCGTATCAGTAAAAATCTGAACAGAGGGGGAAGTGGTGCTGTGTTTAATATAAATTAATCTTGCAAACAGGAGTTGTTGAGATCTAAGCAAAGGCTGTATCGCAGTGAGATTTAGAAATAGTACTTATAAAGAAAATATCCAGAAAGGAAAATGTGGAAGACAAGCTAATTAACTATAAACATTGAAACTGGATCTACTTAGTCTCAATTATTGCTATTTATTGTTAAAGACTACATTTATGACTTTTTTTCTTTTTTTATAAAGTTGCCTGGGCCAAATCCTATCCTGTTTTCTTCTTTCATATGTGTTATACAGACTTTGAGACCTCACTCACGTGAAAGTCCTTGTAATGGCTTTGTCTTGCAAGCTAACTTCCAGTGAGAGGATGAACAGCTTTGGCAGAGATAAAGCAGTCAAGTTCTTACATGAAAAAATTCACTCTTTTGAGAGATCAGTTTGGGATGAATTATGCATTATGCTTCTGGGCCAACTTTTTTAAAATTATGCTGGAAAAGTCTGTGCTTGAATGTTTGTTTTATCTTTTGTTTAATTTTAGATAGAACTGAACCCCAGATCAGTCCTAGGGGACTCTTGGCTAGCAGGAAGAGTTTTTTTGGCTTGGACCATTATTCATGCTACTCTTAAACATTACAGGAAAAATCCTGAATGACAATAGATCTATTTACTATTAAAAAAATACTCTAAGCTATCATAGTTCTGCATAGATCCTTATCTGCCTGCATGCAGTCATTCTTTCAGAGTGCCATATAGGTGATCTGTGTGCCATATTTAATGCAATAATACCACTAGACTTAAAACCCAGGGCAGAGGGTTAGGGATACAACCTCTGTAAAGTATACAAGTACAATAGCAGCTTTTATAGGTTCAAAAAAATCATGTGGGTTGGAAGGGACCTCTGGAGACCAGGTAGAATTGTTCAAAGCAGGTCCAATTACAGCAGCTATTCAGTGCCTCAGCCAGTTGAATTGAACATGTCCAAGAATGGGGTTTCTGCAACATTCTCAAGTACCTGCCCCAAGAGTTAACTGCTATCATGTTAAAAATTAAAAATTGTTTTCCTATATCTAGTTGGAGTTTTCCATGTTTTGATATCCATTGCATCTCATTACAATGTACCCTAGAGCAGAGTCCATTTCTGCCCTTGAAGAAAGCAGTAGGATCTCACCTTCTATCAGGCTAAAAAATAAAAGCTTACTTACCTGTTCCATCCTGTTAGCCACCCTGCTGGGCCTTGGATGCAGAAAATCCAGGATGGGCTTGTGCCTTGTACTGGGAAGCCCAAGGCTGACAGCAGGACTCCAGCTGTGGAGTGAAGGGGGAGAAGCACAACCCTTGACCTGCTGGCTGCACTCCTGTAAGTACAGCCCAGGATGTGGTTGGCTGTCTTGAAAGGACACACTGCCAGTTCATGTTCATCAGATTGTCCTCCAGGAACCCCTGTGGGACTGCATTCCAGCCAGCCAGTGCCCACCAGTATTGCTGCTCAGGGTTATTCCAGCTCCCATCCAGAACACTGTATTTTCCTCCATCAATCTTCATGAGGTTTCATTTGTCCAGCTGATCTAGACTCTGGCTTCTGGCCTGTTGACCACTTCCCCATCTTTGGTATTGTCCACAGACCTGCTAAGAATATATCTTGTCCCATGAGCCTTCTTGGTAACAAAGATGGTAAACAGTATTGGTGCCAGTATGAGTTTTTGAGGAAACAGCAGTGTTTGAAATGCCAGGATCTCAGCAGGTGCCTAAAAGGAGAAGCTTAGACTGGTTCAAGACTGGTTCAAAGAGAACTGCAGCTGCCCACCCATGAGAGCCAAGGACTGCCCAAAGTGTGTGCATGGCAACTGCCTGAAAAGGCTGTGATCAGGGGGAGAGACATATTTCCAAAATGATCCAGCTGCTTTCCCCATCCCCTTCAGTCAGCTGCAGGTTGAATTGACTTGTTCTGTCTCCAATTTCTGCCTGTGGCACCTTGTGTCAGCACCTCTTACATAGGATAAAATTATGTAAAAACAGAGTAGATTAAACATGTTCAGATTATTTTATACCGATAATTCCATTATAATTACTTCAGACATATGAGTGAGAATAAAATTAGGAAGAGTCTAGTCATCTTGTGCTCTTTAGCAAAATTGTTACTGCCAGAAAAACATCCTCTTGGATTTCTCTGGGGACAGAAAGTCACCAAAGGCCAGTCCTAATTACTCTGATTGCAGTCATAAGACAAGTCAGTAACTTGTAATCGATGGTGTTACCAGTGGACTAGAACTCAAATGTCATCACTCAGCTGCCTGGTTTTTATTTGTTTGTTTACAGCCACTCTGTAATGACAGTGTGATGGGTTTGCCCCTTTCTCTTTCAAGCTGTCAGTTTAAAATTCACTATCACTGAATTAAGGTAAAAAACTCTGCACCTAAAGGTGGCTGTTTACTAATTAACGTTTGTATTTGGGCAGCTAAAATCATCTTTCAAGTGAACAAACATTTGCATTGTAAAAAGTAATGTGTAGCTGTAGTAGATGGCTGTCTTGAAAGTTCCTTGAGCAAGCTCTGTTCCCTCACAGTGTTTTTTCTAAAACACAGCTGGAACACATTGATTATGTGCTGCAAAGCAAATTTATATTGTTGTCTGTGCTGTGCTATTATATTACATAAGGAGCTGTCTATATTCTGTAGGTCCTGAGCATCTCAATAGCAATACATTCTGTTTAAAATACATATTCATCTCTTCATTAAACAAAAATCAGGTATTGCTGTCAGATGATAATTCTTCTGTGCTTGTGTATCCCTTACTAAGGATACATTTTCTCCTTCTTGACCATAGTTAATCCCTCTTTCTATGTCTCTTTTGGCCTTAACCTTGCATAAAGCATCCAGTTCCTCACTTAGTATTTATCAAGTCCTAAATTCTGTTTCCCCTGCCTTTATTCTTCTAAGAGGTAGATCAGGCAGCTGATGATGTTGAATTGAAGTGGTATATAGCTGATGGTGGCATAGCAGTCCATCCATCTGTTGTTCCCCCCGGGTTTTAGGGACTAGGTAAATTGAAGTGTAAGTTTAATTAGTTGGGTTCTTAATTATTATAGTGGAAATTGATAGTTGTAGTCAGGAGGTACCTAAAAAATAACAGTTAACATTTTTCACAGTAAAATTGAGGGATTTGACTAACTGTAGGTATATTTTTGCCAAGATTATGCCCCTATGTTTTTGCATTAGAAATGAAAAAAAGTATTCATAGTTTCCAGTTAATTTAGAGATGCAGGCATGTAACTCAATTTCCTCTGAGATTTAATAAACTGAACAAATAGTGGACTGTAAGGGAATTTATTTGGAGATTGACAGCATGTTATACATATTGATTCTATCAGTTGCAACTCTTCTTTGATGTTGTCACCTTTTCATAGTAGCAGGGTTTTCCTATATTCAGTGTAGTGTTGGTTCTATTTGTTAAAATTGAGCAGTGTTCAGTATCTTACCTAAACTTTAATTCCAATTACTTTTCCAAAAGATTCCTACTTTATTTGACCCAGGAGGGAGTTATCTAGGCTTGTTGTGTCTTCTGGTGTGGTCTGCTTAACTCTGCCAGAAAGTTAGGCAGCTGGCACAGGGTGATTTGGAGAGGAAGGAGGGTGATCACGGAGTGAAATTTGTGGTTTTGCTTAGGATTTTGAATTTGATCTCATAAGTGCTTAGTATTTTTATATGGCTCTGCAATTCTTGGTCAGCTCTTGGTTACCAGAAGAGGTGTATCCAAACTCTGTATGCTGAAAGGGGCAGGAAATGATTCCTGCACATGGGGTGACCTAGATCACTACCAACTCTTTCTGCAGAGGACACTTACACACACCTCTCCCTCTTACCCTTCTGTCACCACTTCCACCTCAGGGAAATGCAAGGGGATTCTGGGCTGAAAACTCCAAAGTCTGAACGTATCTATGCAAGGATGAAACAGAAGCTCACGTCTCATTCTTTTTTTTTTTAACTTTCCACCATTTGGCAAGAGCCTTGTTTTACCTCATTTCATGTTTTAGTGGTTTTGAATGAGAAAGCAAACACTCGTTTTTCTCTCTCCAGGTCTCCTGCAAGCGCAGAATCTCTTAACGCAACTACCTCAGCAAAGCCAAGCCAACCTCCTGCAGTCTCAGCCAAGCATCACCCTTGCCTCGCAGGTCAGGCTTTTTTCTACACTTCATGACTTGCTTTGAGGGGATTTAAACTATGGCAAGTGAATGGACTTTGTATTAGTTACCTGAATAGATGTTATAGCTATAACAGTGAATTTGTCTTTCTAGATAGTTCAGGTTTGTAGCTCCCACCCTAATGTGCCTCTTTCCAGGCTTTAACGTTCTAAAGTGGTTTTTTTAGCTGGAAATTTTCATGATTGATACCTTGAGTTAAGGGCACTAGAGCATCATTTAATTTCCTGTAAGGTTTTCTTGAAAATTCAGAGGAGCAAGGTGTGAGCTCCCTCAAAAGCTCCAAAAGAGGTTCACTGACAAGCCTCTTTCTGAAGATTGCAGTGGTAATCTATTTTAGTGTAGTTATTTTGCAATCACTGCTAAGTCATTGCCAGTCTTACCAGTTAGCATCTGTGAAACTGAAGAGATTGTTGGAAATGAAATATTTGAATATTCTGATAGATGTATATTAAAATGTTAGAGCTCTGTGATTAAGTTTTCAGACTATAAGAAAATCTATTTTAAGGTTGCATGTTCCTGCAAATTTAGTTGTGCTTGGCTCTGGGTTTTACTGTTCAGTTTAGTTTCATAGCTGCATGCTGTTTCTCAAATACCATGTAATATCACACAGTATCTTCCTGCCACCTCGGTTACATAGAAGAATTTTCTAGTCTGCAATAAGGTGCCTGAGTCTATCAGAGTCTTAGAAAACGACATTTTCTATTATACCACCTCTAGTATTTTTCATGCACCATGTGGAAAATGGAATTTGTCTCACCTCTAGTTCATACCTCAGCTAGCAGCATGATTCCACACTAAAGATTATTCTTGGTTTTAAAAAAATATTAAAACCACTAAGAAAGAATAAATTATGTAAAGTGGGTGAAATCAGTATTGCAGTAATTACCCACTATGATTAATGTAAATTAAAAAATATTAAAAACCTTTAAGTGTGACACATGTATCTGCAGTCCTAGAAAGATCATATATGATTACATTATTTCTCAAGTAATGGAATTATAGATCTTGACCTCCCTCTACCATCTGCTGTGCACTGCACAACACTGCATTAACCCAGGAGGAAAACAACATAAGGAGTTATGTAAAGGCTACACTATATGTAGGCCATTCTTTCAGAAGAGCCTTTTCTGGACCTTTGCATAGACTCTGCATAACACTCTAGTGCTGCCTGGACTTGAGGCATGAAATCAACTTTACTGAAGAGCACCAGCTAAGCTGACTAGAATTTAACTGGAGTAGATGATTTGTCTCTGCATCTCACCTGATCATGGCATGTAAGGAGTTAGAGCTATGCACTCAAAACATGTCTCCAGTGTTCTTGTTGCACATAAGGTCTGAACTGTGCAATACCAGATCTAAATAGATTTTGTTCACCTGTGAACATTTTCCAAGGTGATAATTTTTTTCAGATATTTATTTTAGTTGCATCACAAAATGCTTTAGTATGCCAATGTTCAGGAATAGTGAACCTTCCACAGACTTCCTAGAAAATTACCCTATATGTAAAAGAAAAGTGTGACCCAAAATGAATCATTTTCTGCAGATTGCCTTTGCTTAATTTCTTGTGTCACTAGTATGTTCATTTTATTGTTGCAACTGTCGACTGAAGGGTTAGAGGTAAATCTAGTCTTTTCTTCCTGAACAGTTGAGTCAGTCACAAGAGATGGCATTGGAGGAAATTTGCCATGTGTGCTGCATCTGTATGTGCTCACTCTTCCAGGATTAAATAGGAAATTTGAATCTTTTGGGCTGACGACAATCTGCCACCTCACAAGACCAATAGATTAAATTTTAATTTTTTTCAAAAGGAACGAATGCCAAGGTGTCTATAAGTGATAGAAGTCTATCAAGTAGAGTGTGTTCAGCCTTTCTTTGAGCAGCTTCTGCAGCAAGTAAAAGTTGTTGGTTACCATTGAACATCTCTTACTTTTCTTTAACTGGTTACAGTAGAACTGTTAGAAGCCTGTCATACTATTGTAGTTTTCTGGATTGTGTTTGCTTGTTGTGAAGAGGAATGTTAATATACTGAAGGAACTTGCAGATTTCAAAAAATGTCCAATCCACTGACCTCTCTCACAAGAACATCAGATACCTTTTAGGAATTTAATTTCTGTTGATTATCCTCTTAAGCCTGATTTTCATCCCTTCCTTGCTGTCTCAATAGCCAGCAACCCCAACACGCACAATAGCAGCGACCCCCATTCAGCCACTTCCACAGAGCCAGTCAACACCAAAGCGAATCGACACTCCCAGCTTGGAGGAGCCCAGTGACCTTGAGGAGCTTGAGCAGTTTGCCAAGACTTTCAAACAAAGACGGATCAAACTTGGATTCACTCAGGTGAGACTGCGTACCTTAGTGCCTGCCAGTGTGGAACCTGAGGTCTCATCTTTCAAGTCTGGGGGGAGACTACAATTCCATCATTTCCTAGGAGAACCTGCTTAAATAGGGTTATGCTCTGGCCTTTATGTGGGGGATTTCTAAGAAATAACAGAAAAAGCCATACATCCATCTTACTTCCCTGTTGGTTTTAAAGCATAGCCATTTTCCCAGCAGGGGAAAACGTGCATTTACCAGCTCCAGATGTCATTGCATGTGCACTATTCATTCTATGGGATGTGACATGAATGGGACAAAGCACTTTAAAGCTGCTTTCAGAAGTACAAAGTTCCAAAAATCATACAGTACAATTAACTGCTCTGTGTGTTTAAAAAGTGTATCACATCTGTACAGTTGCTTTGGATATCAAAGGTTTTTTATCTCTCAAGAGTATTTTCCTATTAAACATCAATGATTTCTGTATTTAATGCTTTTGCTAAGGTTCCTAAACAAAACCTGAAAGAACTGTCACCTTTGAAGTTTTCTCCTTACAGGGGTGGACTGGAGTTGTGGTTTGTTTTGGTTTGTTTAAAAGCTCAGAAATACCCAGAGAGGAGAAGAAAAATAATCTTGAACATAGTGAAGGTGGTTGAATGAAGACCACAATTAAAAGTACAAAGTGCATTTATATGTTCCATTATTCTGTTGAAAGGAATTTGGTTCCAAGAATCCTTTCTTATTAATACAAAAATTATTTTTTCCCCCTGCAAAATTAAAGTATCTCCCCAGGTAAACAATTAGTTTTGGCAGGAGTCTGTAGTTAAATGTAAGCGTGTTTTTACTAGAAGAAAGAGCATGCAAAAATCAAAGTATGAGCTCAGAGCAGTCAGTTCAACATATGTGATGGAATAGAATAAGTGAATCTACTCTAGCTGAAAGTATGTGCTGAAGTCAGATTTATTTTTCTGGCGAAGTCCTAAATTGAAAAATCAAAGTTCATAATGAGAGTTCCTGGCAGCATCTTAATTATAAGTCAAGAACAGAATGTTCTTAGTAAAATGAAGTGCATTTTGCTGGCATGTGTGTCTCCTTCCCTCCCTTCTTTCCACTAGAGGGAGGCACAGAAATACAAGTGATGGACACACACAAAAGCTCGAATAGAGCAGCACAGAATAGGGTAAAATACAATAGCTTCCCTATGGCCTGACAGAGGAGGTTCGTGTAGATCTCTCATTATTATGTTTAATCTGCCCTGCTGTGAGATGATTATAAAAGCTCAACTAGACTTTTTAAGCTATGTGTTAACCTTTCTTTATTGACCTGGTTATGAATTTTCATGGTGAGGAAAAATGAACACAACTGCTCAGGCTTACATTTCAGTATTTGCTTTTCAGATTAAAAAAGGGGAATCTTGAGAATGTGATAAAATTACATTTGGTCATTCCTATCCTTCTCTGAGTTTGTATGTCTGTAATTAGGCTGTTCTAATAACTTTAACCTAATTGCATAATTGGATGATAATTAGAGACCCTGATTACTTTGGTTTCCTATAGTTGGATAAATAGACTGCCTTTCAGAGGATAAAAGAAATTCATTTCCAGCAGTACTGTAAGCTTTTTCAGACTCACCCCACCCCTGCCTTTCAAAAATAATTGTAAGATTTAGTTTGCATTGCAAACTAATCACTTACTACATTCTGTTGTGTGAACAATAAAACAGGTTTTGAATTTCAGCAGTTCTGCCTCTTCTCCCACCCTGAAATGTGGGTGATGCATTTAAATCCCTTTGTTTGTTTTCCTTAAAAATACCTCCATATCTGACATACAGGGACACAATGAGCAAACTGCACCTTAGCATCCTTGCAGGCCTGGGACTAATTGCTCAGTACAGATTCAAGCAACGTGAATGAACATTTTAGACAATGTTATTTTTATTCTGTGAAAGATATTGCCTCTGCTAGGCCATCTGAGCTTCTTAACAGACCAGTACACACAACAATGAGGTACCTTATAATCAGTTGCAGTTCATTACCAGAGCTTCAGTTCAACCTAGAGTAGATGAGATGTGTATACAGTGCCTTTATACTCTGTTCCATCCTATCTGTGGGCCATCCCAATATATAAAAGTCTCATCCCAATATGTAAATTCCTTTGCCTACAGCTGAAATGCTGCCACCTTTCGGCATTGACAAAGAAATGGTTAACTATTCATTTTAAATCAGATGGCAAATGTTTGTAAGAACAACATAAATCCAGAATTAAATTAGTTGGGGGACTGGAGCAAATTTCATAACTCTTTTCTGCCAAGACATAAATCAAGTTATCTCTAAAATGGTTTACATAGCCAGGTTTTCTTCTTCATAAACCCAGAAGAGCATCCACACTACTCCTCTTGGAATGATTTATGAGTTTTAAAATGCACAGAATCCTGGCATATGAGTAGAGGCATAAATGCGCGTTCCCACGTGTTTCCACTGATTGAAGGGCACACAAACCAATTGTTCTGGTCCTCTTCTAGGAAGGAAATTGTTTTCTTTGCTCAACCTGCACAATTTACTAAGCTTCCCAAAGGTTGTTTTCTTCCTGGCTTGTGTGTGGCCACTCTGCATGCTGTCAGTGTACTCATACCCAGCTGTGGTTGTGGAGCTGATCTCAGAGAAAAGCGAGCTTTATGCCCAGTCCAACTAACCCATTTGCAATTAAACTCCACTAACTGTGCTCCAGCTTTTCAGCCTCTTCTTCCACACTTCTCATACTTTGTGCTTAAAAAAATAAAAATATAAATAAAGCTACTTTAGACCAAATAGTATACTTGAAATATAAGTGCTTTTTTTTTTTTCAAAGAGCAGGACCTTCCAGCTTTAAAGCAAACCGTGAAAATATTATGGTGTTTTTAATGGCCACAATCAAGAATGGATTGATTTTTTTTTTAAACACCACTTTCTAAGTGTATGCTTACATAACTATATAATATATACATAAATATTAGGATAAGCAGAATGTCTGCTAGCAGAATAGCTAGCTAAAACTGAGTTTAAAAAGCAGTAACAGATGTAAAGAGATTATAATCTGCCTGTAAATCTCCTGTATGGCTTTCTGGCAGATGGGTAATGATAGTCAAGACTGCAGTTAATCATTATTTGAAATGGTTCAACTTCTTGTATGCTTTGAAATTTGTATCTGTTGGGGAGAAATTTGGTTTGAACCTCAGAAGATACTAAAAAGTTCAGATAAGAATATTTCTGCATCTATTTAAATGTGATGTATGTTTGCAAACATATTGTCCTGAGTATTTTCTACAAATTTGGAAAAGTGAATACATTGCATTTCTGCTTATTTGAACTTTCCTTCTTCATTGTGAAATATGCCAAAAAACTTAAATCTGCTCCTAAGGAGAGCTTGGCCTTTACTTATTTATAAAACTAAGAAAAAATTAGGAGTTGACATTCAGTGGAATGTGCTGCTCAGTGATAATGCTAAGAAGACAAAGCATCAGGGATTCCTGGAAAGAGTTGCAAAGTTAAACTGACTGAGGTTTGACATTTCTTTATGATTATTGCTTTAGCATGAGTCTTGGTAGCGCTGAGAAAGCCTCTGTGAAACTGAAATCCCACGCAGCAGTGGAGTCACTAAGAAAACACCAGAATGTGACAGGATTCCTTGCTTTGGAAGTGCCTGTGTCAGTGAATCCCTTTTTTCTCTTTCTTTGTCCAGGGTGATGTTGGGCTCGCTATGGGCAAACTCTATGGAAATGACTTCAGCCAAACTACCATCTCTCGCTTTGAAGCCTTGAACCTCAGCTTTAAGAACATGTGCAAGTTAAAGCCACTTCTGGAAAAGTGGCTCAATGATGCAGGTGAATGAGTCTGTGTATTTCTTCACCAGCCTACCAAAATCTGTAGGATTCTGAAAAGCTGCTTCGTTTGTGCCCTTATGGTTTTGTGAAGCTACCAGCCTTTGTAGCTGCCCATGGGACAAATGAAGGTGTTAGAAATAGGGGTCCATAGTTTCCTTTCCAAGTGCCTGTATGCATCCAAAATAATTCCAGTATGAACTTTCATGAATGTGTTCTCTAGACAGCTGAAAAATTGCATGGGATGAGGTACAATATGTGTCATGGTTTTCCTCCTTCGTGTATGTTAATGCATATAACTTCTAATCCTCTTCTAGCTTTCTTTTTCAGATGTGTAGTTGAGAGAGGGTTGCATGATTTGTTGTTTCAGTAGGCAGAGCTTAATTGCATCCATCTCCTTCCATACCTCTGTGTGCATTCCTTTTATCTGTCTCCAAGGGTTCAGATAAAGAATATTTTTCCCTGTAGGGAGTGTTTTTTGTGGGTTAGGTTTTACTTTTTCTGTCCCATATTAATTTTTTTTTTTGGGATACAAGTTACTCACTATGCCAGTGTTGGTAGTGTTCTTTTTTTTTTTTTTTTTTTTTTTTTTTTTTTTTTTTTGTTTTTTTTTTTTTTTTTTTTTTTTTTTTTTTTTTTTAAATTTACCACCAGCAAAAGGAGCTTGTGTGGTGGTGATAGGTGTTAGGAGAGAAAGTGTTTGAGAGTGCTGTCAGTTTTTTTCTTCTAAGTATGCAATTGTGCATAGTATAAAACTGATGGATATGTTAAACAGATGGCAAGGATGGTGTGTGCCTTCCTATTTTTACTAAAGTGGTATGCTGGCACCTACAGCATTCTCTGAAATTTTGAAAGTAATTTCATGCAGTGTTGAAAATTTGTCCTGCATTGAGAAGAGGAAGTGTCATTCTGTTGTGCTGACAGGGGTTATCATTAGGTGTTGTGGGTCTGTGATAGGAAACATAAATATCTCCACACTGAGTGCTCAAGTCCATAGGACAGCGGTCCCCAAACGTTCCAGCAACATTGGGTGGATCCAGTGCTGCAAGGAGTGTCCTAGGGGTTCTTTTTCCTGCTAGCCTGAAGAAGTACTTGTCTCTGTAAAGCTGAAGACTGTGAACAGTGTTGGGGTTCTTCACATCCTGCAAGTGGGGAACCATTGTCTTTGGCTCTGACTCAGTTTTGTGAAAATCTTTGGAAGAAAAATTCACGTGACTTTAGAGGCTGCTATTTTACTTTTAGGTAAAAGTAGGCAGGAGAAGCATACCGATGGTTCCAGAATATATTGCCATGGAACTCAGATGGTTCTCACTGGAGTTTTCAGTATGAGGAAGGGTTTCCACACATTTACAGGTGCCAGTACTATTTTAAAAAAAATCTAGAAAAAACTTGTCCATTTGATTCTGAATCAGAGTAATGGTGGGCATTGTGAACTTTGACACCTGCTTATCACCCACAATCCCCCGTGCAGTGAAGGGTTAATGGTTTTGTTCAAATTTTGTTCAAATTTTCTGCTGAAACTTGCCATTTGGTTAGATTGCTCTTCCTGCTGCAAAGTGGGGTTAAATGTTCTCTCTTTGCTCCTCTGTGAAGCCAGAAAGACAGGATTAGAGGTTAAGAGCCCTGGTGAAGCTAAGAAGGGGGAGCTGTTCGCTGTGTGGAGTGGTTGGTAGCACTGAGTATCTGCTACGATGTCCAGAGAGAAGAGACTGAACACTGTGGAGCTGGTTATGAACTTCTCTTCCTCGAGTGTTTTGTAGAGTGGGTAAAAGAAATTTCAGGCTGCTCAGATTTTTTTTCATAACTGCCTGTGACTTTCAGCTATGGGTCATGGATATCAAGTACTCCTTTTTCCTTTAAACTGGGGCTTGCAGTGATTCAGTAAGGAGTAGAATGAGATATGGGAGACAAACTCTGTATAGGTATTATAAAAGGCATACTGTGATAGCAGACAGGAGCAGAGGGCATCCTCTGGGTTTGTTTGTAGCTTTTGAGTTTCAGGTACATGTTGTAATTTGTAAATAGCAGCGATTAATGCATGTGATCTTCATAAATCTCTATGTATTTGGAATAGATACAGAGCAGGTCTTAACATACCTTGCACAGGTGAAGAACACTTGCATTAGACTGCACTGCATTCAGATGAAATCTCCTGATTTGTATTACTTTCTTCTTTTTCAGAAAACCTCTCATCTGATTCAACTCTCTCCAGCCCAAGTGCCCTGAATTCTCCAGGGCAAGGGATCGAAGGCTTGAACCGTAGGAGGAAGAAACGCACCAGCATAGAGACCAACATACGTGTGGCCTTAGAGAAGAGTTTCCTGGAGGTCAGTGGTCCTGGTGCTGTGCTCAGCCTGGGAAGAAATGGAGAAACTTCATTTAACTATTATATGTGTTAGAGTGAACCCGTTACTGTGCTTTTTAGGAAAGTGCTAGTACTAAACAAGGGGAATACAAAAGCCGTGCCAAGAAACGTGCATCAGCATCTGTTTCACTATAAAAATAAGGACAGACCCTCTCAGAAAAACTCACTGGTTCTTGCAGTTCACTGACTTTGTGATTTTGCATTCCAGTATACTCAGACATAGGTTTAAACATTACCCTTCATGAGGATAGATAAATGAGGCAATAGTCTAAGCACAAATAATTTGAGGATTTTAGATGGAGGGCAGAAGCACCTACTGTGGTTTGTCTCTACGGCTGCCACTGACCAGCTTCTGGATCTAAATCACCAATTCAGATTTTGGCCTACTGGAGAAGAAGCTATGATGCAAAACTTCAGGAGGTGATTTCAGAGCTGTTCAAATACCATTTTCTTTTGTCAGAACCAAAAGCCTACCTCGGATGAGATCGCCATGATAGCTGACCAGCTAAACATGGAGAAGGAGGTGATCCGCGTTTGGTTCTGTAACCGGCGCCAGAAGGAGAAAAGGATCAACCCACCCAGCAGTGGTGGAACCAGCAGCTCGCCCATCAAAGCAATTTTCCCTTGTCCAACCTCACTGGTAAGAGTCAAAAACCATGTTGACAAAGATCACTTGTGGAGGTGGTTCTGCTGTGCTCACTATGGAAGCTACATATGCTGCACCTTATTTGTACAGCAGATTTGTTCTCACATTTTTATGTTTTACTGGCATTTTGAATGTTCCACCTGGGTACTGTCTAAGAGAGATAATGCTTACAAATCAGGCACTAGTCAGGCCTTCAGTGAGGGTGTTTAATTTAGTCAGTTTATGAACAAATATTCTGACTACCAAATTTGCACTTGGGATTATTGCTTTGAACTTACTTCAGATAATACCTCCAATTTATATCTGGATTTTCCTTCTTTTACCCATTTTTAAAAAATAAAATAATAGTAATTTTTTAAAGTGCTTAATAACTCTCCCCACCACCTCTTATTTTAGCAGCTCTGGTCAGTAAATCAGCAGCAGTAAAATGTGTCATGCACTGGAACAGTTTGCCCAGAGAGGCTGTGGAGTCTCCCTCACTGGAGATACTCAAGAACCATCTGGACTCAATTCTGTGCCATGTGCTCTAGGACTGAACCTGCAGGGAGGTTGGACCAAAGGACCCACTGTGGTCCCTTCCAATCTTATCCATCCTTTGATTCTGTATCATTTGGAGACTTAGGTCACACAAATCCAATGATACCATTGTTGTTACTTCTAGTCAGAAATTATTTATGTAAAAGCAAGGCATGGAACAGAAGAACAGTTTAGCTAATACTCATGTAATTAATTTCCCACACTTGTATTTACCTCAGGTAAACACAAACTTCATGAAAATAAGAGTAACAAAACACATGCATCAAGGTTCCTTCAGCACCTTTGCTACCAATGTCCATGGAGGTCTGTTTTCATAAATAGAAACAGTAGCTATTAGATTTCATAGTAGCTATGCTAATAGGAATGTGGTGGAATTTATGTAGCCTGTAGCTGTCCTTTTGTAGTATTTATTCCACCCTCATCACCGTAGTAGCTAATATCTTCCAGTACTTCATTAAACCATTAATTTTGGTGATGTGTTATTCTCTCCCCTCATCCTTGTCTCAGGGTGTGTGCATGCAACCTTTTGTTTCAGGGGAAGGGTTGTGTTAAGTGTACTTATTTTTTTTATTATTATTGTTGGTTTGGTTTGGGTTTAGGTTTGTTTTTTTTTTTTCCCCAGTTGCAAAGCAAGGTTGCATGCCTTGCTACCAAGGCAGAATATAGTGAGATTTTTGATAGAATGTTTTAGTAACCGTGCAAGTTCTCTCAGACTGCAACTTAAAGGAGCTTTCCTAGGGAAATTTTCCTGTTGCTATAATCTGCCATTGTATTGAAGAAATTGAGATGTTAACCACAGTCTCCCTTTCAACAGTGAAGTTTCAGTAGTGTTTTCACTCATTCTAAGCTTCTCTTAAGACTGTGCTGCTATTCAAATGGATGTTCCAGCCCTGCTGCCACCAGCCTTCACTGACTGTGTGCTTTGTTGATTCCTTTTGTCAGCTCTGAAGATTGTGCCCATAGGATGCTTGGGCTTACTTTAGTAGTTTGACTGTAAATTAGCCATGTGAGGAACAATGATGAATTTTCAGTATGGTTAGATAACCAGTGTGACTCGCAGCCTGGCTGCACGAGGGCGAGGGCTCTGCAGCAGGATTGGAGGGGAAGGCTCCTTTTGGGAGCAGCCTCCTTTTGCATTGGCTGGAGTCACTCACTGTAACCACGGGGGTGAGCTGTATTAATTCCAGGTCATTCTCTGCCCTGAAATAGGGATGGTGACCTTGGCCTTAACTGCTTGCTGGACAGATGACAGATGTGGTGGCTGGGCTGCATTAGTGGGAGGTGTACTGTGCATCCAGCTCCTCTTAATTTCATACACTATTTGAGATGGGCAGAAAGCTTTCAGATCTGTCCCAGTTGCCCCAGTCTTGTTTAAAATGCGTGAAGCATTTGACTCCCTCTAAGAGGCAGGAGAGATATTTCTTTGATAATAGACTTAAGGTAAGAGAGTGGAAAGGAGGAATGTTTAGCCTATATCCTTGGCTATGTTCTCTTGGGCAATTCTAAAGGATTCATTTCTCTCATTGATGTATAACAGCCTTCAAATGTTACTGTTGGACACCATTTCTTGTCCATAAAAAGTCCTTTCCTTATATTTCATTTTTCCTCATAAGCTAGTTTCTCCAGCCTTAAATCTTTGGTGTTTATCTGTAATGTCTTCAGTTTACTGTAGCTTTCCTGTAATAAGCCATCCACAATTGAAAACTCCATTGGTATGTTTTAAAATTCAGAAATCCTTCCTCTGGCACAAGGAAGCTTATCAAAGTAAAGTTTATAGTTTGGTTGAATAAAAGTGAAATGTTATTCTGCTTCTTCATATAAACACATTACTCTAAACACCTTTGTTAATGCTGGGACATTTACATAATTTTAGCAGAAAAAGAGATTTGGAGCTGAAAAGATGTTTAAACAAGAAAAAAAAAAGAGTAGAAATAATAGTATTTTGTACCTCTTTCTGTAAGAGTGTCTCTATTAAAGCAAGGTGCTGTCTTTGTGGAGTGGCAGAGAGGGCTAACCTGCAGTCTTGAGACAATATGGATAGGGGTGTATCTGCTTGCAAATACTGAATTAGTAGGAATAAAGATATTGTGGGTAATTAGAGAAGATGCTATGTTTGTTTCATTGAATGATAAAGTAACCAAATTACAAAAAAAATTAGTGTATATGCAGTGTTTTCACTGATAACTTCCTCAGCTGAGGGTGGAAAGAAAGAAATCCATGTCTAGTGTGTAACTGTCTTTGAGCAGCTGAGCAGTTTTATTCGTTTTTGACCTCCAGGTGGCAACCACGCCAAGCCTTGTGACTAGCAGTGCAGCTACAACCCTGACTGTCAACCCCGTGCTCCCTCTGGCCAGTCCTGCTGTCACCAGTCTGTCAGTCACAGGTAAGGCTGGTCTCTGCTGCCACCACACCAACCCCTACCCTTTGTCCCTTTTGAATTCCTAACAGTGCCATTTGCTGTTGGTCACTGAGATCCTAGGACATTCTTGTCATCATAGGAAGCTTCAGTTTTGTGACTACTGAGTTGACTTTTCCAGGAATAAAATCACAGGTGGTGCTGAAACAAAATAGACTGTGTTTTATTGCTGGCTTCTGGAGCTCCTCAGCCTCTCATTGGGAAGTGTCATTCCATTTTTTCATTTGAGCTCTTGGTGCTTCTTGGTACTACAGAAATGTGTCCTTGTGCCCCTTTCAGCTGGACATGCAGTTGGGATCAGGTGGGCAGGGGTTTCTCTTGTCTGGTATCTGTGTTTTGTACTGATCTGACCAGAACCATCCTTCCAGGCACAACAGAAACCACCTCCAACAACACGGCAACAGTGATTTCAACAGCACCTCCAGCTTCTTCAGCAGTGACATCACCCGCCCCGAGCCCTTCCCCTTCTGCCTCAGCCTCCACTTCAGAGGCCTCCAGTGCCAGTGAGACCAGCACAACACAGACAACCTCCGCTCCCTTGTCCTCCCCTCTCGGGACCAGCCAGGTGATGGTAACGGCATCAGGGTTGCAAACGGCGGCAGCGGCCGCGTTACAAGGAGCTGCACAGTTGCCTGCAAATGCAAGTCTTGCTGCCATGGCTGCTGCAGCAGGACTAAACCCAGGCTTGATGGCATCCTCGCAGTTTGCAGCTGGGTAAGGATCCGTTTTGCACACCCTTTTAGGTGAGGTGACAGAAGAGCGAAGGAAAATTCTTGGGATAAATTGCTTTTATGTATCGCTGTCATTTATCTCAGATTCTGAAGGTTTGCTCATAGGTGGAAATGGACCATTCCCATCACAGTACACAGGTGTACAGAACACCTGTGTTCATTTTAAAGGTGAAAAAGCTGTGTTGCAGTGATGTTGTTGTTTGATAAATCATTCATCCCACTGCAGAGCTTTACTTAAAAACTGCAACTTACCACTGAACCATAGAATCTGTCCTATTAATTGTAAAATGGAGAGATAGCCTAAATCCACTTTATACCTCTGTATTCACTTCTCCATCATGAACAAGAAATTCTCAAAGATGCAAAATTTTGTTGAAGTTATAGTTTTAGGAATGTTGCTCAGACAGATGTTTCTTTAATTTCTCTTGATTTACCTATTTCTTATGTGCATTTGGGAGAGGAGGATAGTTCTCTAAAATGAACAGTCTTTCCAAAATTCTTTACAAGAATATTTTACACCAACAATCAGTGCAAGTCATTAATTTACTGTGCTTGTACTTCAGGCATGTCATGAATCCCTTATGGAGTTAAAAGTAAAATAATCCAAAACTAGCCCTTAATCTCTGGTCTTTCCTCCCTCCTTCCCTCTTTTTTTAAAAATATGATGGTGTACTTTTGAATAGTGACAACCTTTTCTTAAAAGTAACTCTTTCTCTTTCCCACTTCTTTCATGATCTTGCTGCAGAGGTGCCTTACTCAGTCTCAATCCAGGGACATTAGGTGGTGCTCTCAGCCCGGCCCTGATGAGCAACAGTACACTGGCAACTATTCAAGGTCAGTAGTGTTCCTGTTAATGCATCTCTGTCACACAACTTCCGTTTATGCGCTCTGGTTTTGCCTACCAGAGAGCACTGACTCCTCAGCACTCGGCATAAATTGTGTAGGAGTAAAGACTTTACAAAATTAAATGTGCAAATACATTTTGTGGGTCACAGAGATAAGAGCAGGTACAACTTCAAATAGGGAATCAGAGCTGTGTATGATTTAAAGGAGGCATTTAAGACACTGAATATAGTCTGGAATTTATTTTGTTGTCCTTGCCTCGTTGGCCTGTATCTCTAGGAGGTTAGAGATTTGCTTTTTATAGCTCTTCTATAGTCTGCTTGAGCAGACTTGCACCATTCTGAGGTCTCTTGGAAGGGTAGATCTGAGCAAGTCTTGATCCTGAGTTCTTGTCTTCATATATATTTGAAAAGAACCTGCAACAAGCATCCTGCCTCCTAAAATCCTTATGTAGAACTTAATGTAGAAATAAATAAATCTACATTCAGAAGAGTAAATATTTATTTGTTTTGGAAGTTGCACAAAGGCAGAAGTTACCACTGGCTCCACCAAGAGTTGTTCTGAGTTTGTAGTTTGGCACCTGTAAAAACTGGGGGGTACAAGTGTCTAAAGAGCTAGGTAACCTATGTGTCCAAATATCCTCTAAACTAGCTGAACAAATCTTAATTTCTAAGTTGCAAGAAAGAACCATTTCATAAAGTGTCACAGGTAAATTTAGGAGATCATAATCTAAGGCAGACTGAACGCTGTAGACCCATGAGACTAAGTTGTAACAGTGGTTGGTTATATGTCAACATTTAAAATGTTATGCTCTAGGTTATATGACCTTCTCCATCTTATGACAGCTGTCATTTCACATGAACCCTCATCTCAACCCTTCCCAGTGCAAGTTGCCTTGCATAGGGCAACAGGCTCTCTGTGGCAGAAAATATAGACCAGTATTGTGCTAAAAGAGCTGAAGAAAAAACCAATGGAATTAGTTTAGCAGCAAATGAAAGATGCCTTTTAGTATCTGCAAGATTTTGTCTGATGGTTATTTGGGGAAAAAAAGCCAAACCAGCCTATGATGAGACAGCTGCCCTCAGCGATTTAGAGAGCACACATATCAGAAAAAGGCAAATACAGACACCCCTTGCTTTTAGGCACATTTTGCATTGTTGCTTACTGCTAACGTTATCTCCTCCCTGCTCAACTTTCCCTATTTTTAGCTCTTGCATCCGGTGGCTCTCTTCCAATAACATCACTGGATGCAACTGGAAACTTGGTGTTTGCCAATGCTGGAGGTACCCCTAACATCGTCACTGCCCCTCTGTTCCTGAACCCTCAGAACCTTTCTCTGCTCACCAGCAACCCAGTTAGCTTGGTCTCTGCAGCTGCAGCCTCCGCAGGGGCCTCTGGACCAGTCGCCAGCCTTCACGCCACCTCCACCTCAGCCGAGTCCATCCAGAACTCTCTCCTCACAGTGGCCTCTGCCAGCGGGGCCACGTCCACCACCACTACTGCCTCCAAGGCACAGTGAGCCGGGCTGGGCTGTGCTCCAGCAGCCTGGGTCACTGTGCGCTGGGATCGGCTGCCAGCCCGGTCGATGGACTGAAAATGCCATGGGCATTCTCTCACCGTGTTGCTGGGGACAAGCGAGAGAGAGAGAAAAAGAGAGAGAGAAGGAAAAAAATATTAAAAAAACAAAACAAAACAAAACAAAAAAAAACCAAAAAAGAGAAAAAAAAAAACAAAAGCAAAACAGGAAGGATTTAAAGCTGGGACAGACATTTGCCTAATTTTATAATAAACACTGTCTTTTCAGGATCGCTTCATGGATCGGAGAACTTTCTAACCAAAAATGTAAAAAAAAAAAAAAAAAAAAANAAAAAAAAAAAAAAAAAAAAAAAAAAAAAAAAAAAAAAAAAAAAAAAAAAAAAAAAAAAAAAAAAAAAAAAAAAAAAAAAAAAAAAAAAACATTTCCAGCAGTCACAATGACAAGTTAAGGTGGGTTATCAGTTCAAACATAGGAAGGGGATTTCCTGGTTTTTTTGGTCTAAATATCTTTCTTTTTTAATTATCATTTTATAGGTCTGTTGTACAGGCCATTATGTCATACAAGGTGTTTATAATCGTATCAATCATGTTGGGGGTTCCTTTCTTAACTGGTACAATTTAGGCAGGCCTGTATTACTGGTGTATCTCTATTATTATTATTATGATTATTATTATTATTATTTTTATATATATAGTTTGGACGCATTTGTCTTTTGCTCCTGGATTATTTTCAGCGAGCTCCCACACCATGGGGGGAGGGTGGGGGGGTGGAGAGGAAGAATGGAGCACAAATAGACTTTCTATCCTAATCTTCTGGAAATGTTCTGAACAGTTTCCTCATCCTTGAATTTGTCTAATGCCTACTTATAGGGGTCAGAAGAATTTATGTTCATCATTTGTGCAGGAAGCTCAGTGCAGTAGCAGAGATCATTGTGTGCAAACTTCCAGGCTGGTCTCTGCTTTGTAAGCAGAGGTAGGAATTTGCTCCAAACTGCCATTCTTCTCCTCTCAAATATTTATACAAAACAGCCAAATTCTGCTCTTAGCTTCTTGTGCTTGGTTCCTTTTACTTCAGAGAGCGGGATGTGACCTCCCAAATCTGGATTGTGTGACAATACTGATGGCTCTTCTGTTCCAGTGATTTTGTTTTGCTGTGCAAAAGCACACACAAATATTTAAAAAACATCATGACCCAGGCTAATTGGCACCATGTAAAGCAGCATTTAGAGTCCTTTATACCTTCTAGGTGAGTTGGTACTGGATTTCAGAAGGTCACATTCTCCCCATTCATAGCAATATTCCTTTTCTGATGCTTCCAACACTATTTAGAAGAGCTTCCTAGTGAAAAAAAAAAAAGAAAAAGTGCTTCTGGCTACAAAAGACAGAAGCCAGGAATATGGGAACAGAAGGTGCCATTGTTAATGCCAACACAACAGAGCCACTCTGGGGCTTTGCACACCCCGGGCTGATCTCGTGTGGTCGCTGAGCTGCGGGGTGGGCGCGGCAATCGGCGCCTCTGGCCAGCAGCCGGGGCTGGCCTGGCACTGGAACTCACATTTTAAGGTTGATTCTGATCTGTGGAGCAAAGGATATTTTTGTGGATGAGGAAGGAGTAATGAACTGTACAGAAGTTAGATCGGTATATTCTTGAATATACAATCTAGTATCTGAACCAAAAACGAAAGAAGATTTTTAAAGAGAGAAGACTGGATCACTGCAATGCAGTTCACGTTAAACTTTCCATTCCTGATGGATTTAAAGGTTTCTGCCATGTGTATAAAACTAAATTACTTTTAGCTAGTGAGGGTATTAGAAGAGTCCATTTCCCACCCACCCCCTTTTCTTTTGTCACCAGAGTGTCCTAAAATAATGAGCTGATGCAGCTATGTTGGTTTTGTTGACGATTCAGGGGGATCCTGGAGCTTCTCATCCAAGATCCACAAGGCAGCAACTTTAAACTCTACACATGCTTTGGTTTGCCTGAGCATGTGGGAGTTGTGTTTGCACTCAAGTGGCAGAACCCCTTATCTCTCCCCCCACTACCATGGTTTTGCTCTGTTCATCTCTAACTCTCCACCTTCCTGTTTTACTGATATTTAAACCAATTACCCCTAAAACTTCAAAACTAGTGAACTGCAAGCAGGGAAACTAACAAATGTCCGTCCACCTTTTCTTATGTGTTTTTGATTTTTTTATGTTTTATTTTTTTAAAACTAAGCTTGAACCAAAGTCAATTTCTAGCAAGCTGCTGTACTAATGGACTAGTTTGTGTAAGTGCAGTTCAGATGCAGAGAGGCGATAGATGCTACTGACAATTTCTTTTTCATTTGTCTTTTGTTTTTATTAATTTTATATAAAAGTTGCTGCTTGTTTTTAATCTTTTTTTTTTTTTTTTGGTTGGTAATTTGTGTTATCCTTGGGGCAGACTCTTAACTTGACTTTGTTTTCTTTTATTTGATATGTAAATAGAATGGCAATGTCAGAGGATTGTTAATCCAAGAGGTCCCACCTTTATCCCCCCAGTATGGATGAATCTCTGTATTTTTGATATGTCTCTACGTCTTCAGGCTGTGCAGGAGACTTTTAGGGCTATGAATAATACTGCAAAAATGGCAGTGGCCCACAGTAAAAGCTTCAGAGCAGCAACAGGTACAGCTGGGTGAGCTTCAGGGAGGTAGGGAAAAAGTAGAAGAGAAGATTCTGGTACCCACTGTGCTGGTCTGGAGGCCACAGCACGGTCTGTAGTTTCTACCAAAGGAATGCAAGTCCTTGGACTTGCTTTGAGTGAAGTAAGAGGATGGGGAAAACCGCAGCTGTAGCGTTTGTTCCTGACTCTGAAAGTCCCTGCTTACTTTCACGCCTGTGCAAAAGTACAATTTATCAGGAAGCTTTTTTTGTTAGTAGGGGGAGACCACCGGGCTCATCTCGGATGGATTCCCTCCTCCCCAAGGGTTTTGTGGTGGGGTGGGGGGCGTGGTCCTTGCAGATATCTAGGAAACACAAAGAAAGGTGGGCCTTAAATCAGTGGAAAATCCTCTCTCCACAGTTCCAGGAGACTATGCCATTAGCTGTCTGAATGAGTTTTCATGTCCCGTTATTGCTGGTTTGTGGTTGGGAGAGGGTCTTGTTGAGTACATATCTGGAACACTAATGCAGCTTGGATGGTTTATTTATTATAAAAATCTGCTTTTTTTCCTGACTACCTTTGCATTGGTCACATGGCTTTGGTGTGAGCACCTTATACCCCTTTCTTTGCCCTCCTCTTCTCCACCCCATCACCCTATCTGGGGCCCAGATTCCAGGGAATTTCTTAGCGAGTTTTTTTTCTGAGAGAAACTGGAAACTCAGAGTAGCTACATATCAAAAAAAAACCTTGGTTTTGTTTGCAGAAACTGACATAATACCCAAACAGCACATACCCCGTGGCATCCATTGCCAGTGTGCTCTGATTCATTGTCCCCTACAACATCCCTGTGACTGACTGTTTTTCCTGGAGCCTAACTTTCATCCCTATCAGTGTTTTTCTTCATGGATGCTGGCTACCTCCAGTGTTTAGGTGAAAGACAGAAATCAGACTGGCAGTGGGTGTATATCTGCCAAGTTAGAGTGCATGTGCTTCTTCAGAGAATGAAAAGAATATGAGATATGTACCAGAATTTAGCAGAAGTTTCTTTCTTAAATCATCATCATGCTGACAGCAGAAATTGATGCATCTGAAAAGAAACAATAACAGTTGTGTACAGACCCAGTAAATAGGATCACAGGAAGTTTGGTGGTGTGTTGGAAAAGGATAAAAGCATCTCTTTTTCAAACTTCCATGTCTCTGTATTTAAAGGTGAGAGGGTTGCTTTTCATAGTTGCAAACATGTCACAGTAGCCAGGTAAGAAAAGATAAGGTGAAAAGTTCTCCCTGCAGACAGGGATAGTTCAAAAAGCAAGAGATTTCCAGGAACACAAACACAGACATGCCCGGAAGGTCAAAAACAATTTAGAAAATGGCTTCAGGAGTTGGTCTTCTAGCTTGATGATGACATTTTTTTCTGATCTTAAGAAAAACCTGTTTTGCTTTAGCACACTTTGGCTTTAGCACACTTGGTCTCCTTAGAACCCCCTCTCCACAGTCACCATGGAAGGATTCATGAACAGCCCAAAGAAAGTACACACAGGTGTGGCTGCTTACAATTGTAAGCTTAGATTTCCTACAGAGCATTTATTTTGTTTCTCAGTTACTGTACAACACCTGTTAGTTGAAGTACATTTCTATCAGTCAGTGTGAGGTGGTGTGGATGTGACATCTCTTAGAACTATGACCTGATGCTCAAATGCCACCTCTGTAAGCCTCACATGGGGTGCTTTGACACATTTCTGCAGTTGAGTTAGTGAAGGACACAGGAGAGTTAATTCCTTAATTCTCTGCACATTCCTGCAAAGCAGCATTCCTTAAAATAGGAATTCCCTCTTTTTTTGTTGTTGTTGCAAATGGAGCAGCACAACCATTACAGCTGGAGCCATACCATAGATACTAAACCAAAGCAACATCTAATTTACCTTAAATATTAATTAATATTTTCTTAGATAAAGAAATATATAAAAATACAAAATTATCTTAAAGAGACAGGTAGCTTCTCAAGGTCATCAGAGTGTTTTAGGATGGATAAAATAATGCATGGTCCAAACTTTCAATGATACTTCGTTTTAAACTGGAAGTTTAGAATGTATATGTTTTTATTGCCACATTAACTTACAAAGAGTCACTATTCCCTATTTCTGTTCTGCCTGAAATGGTTAAATGCTGTTTCTCCACACCCTGTACCCCAGCAGGGCATGTCTGTCCCTGTTGGATGTTGCCTAGGGTGGAGTACTACCAAAGGAATAAGCTGGCCTGCTGTTCCCCACTGCATTATGTTTGTCAGTTCTCACACAGCCAACTCAAATCCCTTCCCTATTTTTGCAACCAGTAATCTGCCCTCTCCCTCCCAAAGTACTAGAGCAATATGGAATTGAAGATACCTACCTTGCACAAGTTCTGCCCTTCTCACTCATTGAATCTCTTGTTGTTGCTCATGAATTTCTCTTTTCCTTCCACAGAGGAGTCCCCTACAATACTTCAAAGATATTTGACAGGGAAGATTTTGTCAAAAAGTTGTTGGTTCACAAATCTCAGTTTCTTAAGATGCTCGTATCTTTGTCTCCACATGGAGACAAAGTGAGTGGTACCTGGTTCCCCCTGTGTCAGTGCAAGTAGTTTCAGTGCTTTTGGAACAATGAAAAGCAATTCCTCTATTTGCATCTCTACACACATGGA